AGAGATTCTCAAGTGCAACAGATGAAGGCCCTTACCTAAAGCCACATAGCTTAACAGGAACAAAAGTAACCTGAGAACTCAGTATTTTACCTCTATTGAAGTGCTCTTTCTTCTATGATGGTCACATTTTAAGTTCATAATTATTATATATAAATTATTATAATATCATTATAATTGCTATTATTAAAAATATGTAATGTTTATATTTTTCTCTGCATAATTGTCATTTGAGACAACTAAAGAATATTTGGAAAATACTAAAAAGATAAAGAAGGTAATGAAAAGTTACATATTGGTGTATTTTACATAATAGCTTACATGCTGTTATTTTCTAAAAATATACCTGTTTAACAAAATTGGACTGAAGTTCTATGTTTGGCTTTACAGCCTTATTTTTTACTTTAACAAATATCAAAAGCCTTTTCCAAGGTTGTTAAATATATGTTAACAATGGGTTGTTTAAAGGGCCCCTAAACAAAAAGCTTTTACTGAGCAAAGTTTTCAATTCTTATTAAAAAGAATGCTGTGAAAACATCCTTGCACATTTATGTGCCTATTAAATTATTCTCTTAGACATTCTTAAAAGTGAATTAACAAGATCAAAGAAAATAAACTAATTTTTAAGGAGTACAGCATATAGTAACAATTTGTTTTCCAGAAAGTTTCTATCATTTGATTACTTTCTAGTTGAAAGTTAACTTCCAACAAGGCTATCTCATTAGACCAAATAGATCATTTACCACCTTTTAGAGTCTGGATAAAAAGGCTACAGAAAATACAGAAAACATCAGTGTACAATACAAAATGATATTTCAGCCTGCTTCAGCGTGGGACCTTAAAACATCTCTCTGTCTTGTTCTCCTCATCTATAAAATGAGGACAGACAAGAGGGTCTCCGAAGTCCCTTAACTCAAATTTTAAGACAAATAATCTTTCGATTGTAAGTCTAAATTATAAATCACTAAGAGAAATTACCCATATTAAGATGTTATTTCTTTCTCTGGCCTCTTCCTGGTCAGAACTGACTCTAATATAGACAAATTCAATTATATGAGAGTGATTTATGGCACAAAAATCACAAATCCAAAATCTCACTTATTCTTTACTGAATCCTACACCAATACCTAACTTCAAAGATAATAGTGAATATTTGATAGGACATTGTTGGTTTTAATGACTAATGCAAAAGGCTACTAGAAGAAAGAAATTAATACCATGCTCTTAAAAACAAAAAAAGTATTTTAAAAATAAAGTTAAAAATATTATATTCTGACCCAGCAAGCCAACAAGACTGAACTAAGTTTACCATAAGCTACTAACAAATACAGGGAAATGTCCAGATTCAATTTATGTTAAAATATTTCATGCAATTATTTACATATTATAAAAATTACACTTATTTTAGAAAATACTAACAGTGCAGAAAATAAAAAGTTAGAGGAAAAAATCCACCTCCAGTCAAACCCTCAGAGTTAATCATTGGTAGAAATATTTTCATTTATGAGGCTTCAAAGAAAGAAAAGAGGCTTTTTTTTGCATTAGTTAAGACAATTCAGCAAACTTTAAAACTGTCTGCTGGAAAAAAACAGACCTTACTGTGAATTTCAATGTGATGATTTTAAGAAATACTTATTTGCTGGGCACATTTTTTCTAACACCAGTGAGTATTGTTTGGCTTGTAACGTCATCACTTTATAGAGTGTGTGGACAGCCCAATAAAAGTGAGAGTTCACGAGTTACACACCTTGAATAGTGAGTAAAACAATATAATCACTGCACAATCATCTTCATCTTGTCACANTCCAGAAAACCTGCTCGACTCAAACATATCCGTTTCCATCTGCACCCCTTCACCTGCCCCACCTCCAACAAATTACCAGAGTCTTAAAGCTAACGCAATACTTGGCAGGTGAAAACCTGTGGCTTGCAATGAATCAGCTTCCGACTGATCATCTTCCTACAAACAACCTAAACCTCCTCTCTGGGACACTTTGAACACCCCCATAAATGATGACACTAGAAGCAGTAATGCGCTTTCTTTGTATGCACATTTTTTCATCTTCTCATTAGATGAATCAACACATAGGGGAAAATCCCACAAAGTACAGGATTAAATGAAGTGACTGGTCACAGGACGGCTCTCTGCCAGGGGCCAGTGTCACCTGGGCCTGACCACACCCAATGTCTGAGGGCCAGCACCATCCTGCTGGACTTCAGGACCAGGCCTCTGACTGCCCAAAGGGAAACCTCACACGAGGACTTTCTCCCCCAGACGATCACCGAGAAGCACTAAAGCTGATCCAAAGAAGTTTCCTGAAGGAATCCCAAGGACACAGGGTACAAAGTCAGAGGAGATAGCAGGGAGGCAACGGAAAAAGTGTGAGGGCTGACACCCAACCAAAAGGACCCCTTTCATCATCCTTATCGGTGAGGTGCCTGGTCCAGAGACAAAGTACCCAAGGCCATGGGATCTGGGCCACTGGATCTGCCTGGGTCGCTGCCTTGACTCTTAGGAACCTTGGAGGGTCCACGGGTAGATGTATCCCTATCCCAGACAGTAGGCCTGGTTCTGAGGGAGCTCGGCTCTGACCGCTCATTTCTGCAACGATACAGATGATGTGATATCAGACTGTGTCCCGCTGTCAGCAGACGTCTGTTTTGTTTTTTTAATGGAGGATAATGCTTACACTGCTGTGCTGGTTCTTCTGTACAACAAGGCGAGTCACTCTAAGAGTATGCACATCGCCCTCCTTCTGAGCCCCCCCCACTCCGTCCTACTCCTCCGGGTCAGCACAGGACACTGAGTTCAGTCACTTGTGGTAACAGCAGCGTCCCGCCAGCTGTGCATTTTACAGGTGGTGGTCTGTATGTGTCTAAGACCTCTTTGTTTCTTAACTGAGGTATAACTTGGGAGCACGACTGTCTGGGTTTGACTCGTGGCTCTGAAACCTCTGAGCTCTGAGGCACTGGGGCATTACCTGCCTGTGCCTCAGCCTCACCTGCGAGAGCAGCCAACAGAGGAACCTCTCTCACAGGTCACCCTGAGGAGGAAAGCAACTGCCGTTTACGCACCTGTTCAACAGCAACTCTACTCAAAACTCGGTAATAACCTAAATGAAGAAAGAATCTGACAAAGACAGATCCATGTAGAACTGAATCACTTTGCTGTACACCTCAAGCTAACACAACAGTGTTAGTCAACTATACTCCAACATAAAGTAAAACTTTTTGGGGAAAAAGGGGGGAGATTCAAAATGCAAATCAAACAACAATAACAAACAGGCAAGCAAGCAACATGCTCCCCCCATGCCCAGCAAAATGTGTTAGGATAAAGGGTAAACGGGGCTTCCCAGGTGGTTCAGTCAGTGGTAAAGAATTTGCTCGCCAATACAGAAAACAGGAGACGCAGGTTCGATCCCTGGGTTGGGAAGACCTCCTGGAGAAGGAACCCACTCCAGTTACTCTTGCCTGGGAAATGCCACGGACAGAGGAGCTTGGCAGGCTATAGTCCATGGGGCTGCAAACAGTCGGACATGACTGAGCGACTAACAACAACAGACGGCAAACACAAGTAACATGAAGGGAGAGGGTGTAATGAAAGGGAGAGAAAGATAATATTAAAGATATATTAAATATTAAATATATTTATTTAATATATTTATATTTAATATTATTTAATATTAAAATATTAAAGATAATATTTTAGCCAGTTAGAGTGAATATCTTTAAGACTTCAATTTTTAAAAATCTCCCCTCCCCACATCTAATTAAATAGGGCTCCTTTCCTCAATAAAGCAATGGATTTCTGGAGAAAGGGGAAGGAAGGAGAAAAAGTGATATGAAAACAATTGTCTGTAACTAGAAAAGTCCCACAAAACTAGTCGTCAGTTTGTGAGTCTAAGAATTTGCTTTGCTACTTTTCTTCAGCTTGCAATGTGCTGAATAAGTGTCAAAGACTGCTTTGAGGAATGGTTATAAAAACATTCTCAGGGACTTCCCTGGTGGTCCAGTGGTTAAGACCCCTGTGATCCTAATGCCGGTGGCTAAGGTTCAATCCCTGGTCAGGGGACTAAGATCCCCCATGCTGCAACTAAGTTCACAGGTCACAACGAAGACTCAGCACAGCCAAATAAATAAACACAAAAGCCATCCTCAGAGCAAAGAAAGTAGCCACGACTAACAGAACAACACTGCTTTGAATAGTTTACTCTACCCAGGTCAGAAATTTTATCTCATCTGACTCACCTTCCCAGCACCTTCCAGTTCTTTCTTATCTTTCAGGGCTTGTCCAGAGAGCATTTTCATTTCAATAACTCCTGCTACTGCAATGATGGGTACAATTGCTAACAGGAGAAGTGTCAACTGCCAGCCATAGATGAGAGATATTATAATGCCTGTGCCAAGATTTGCAATATTCTGGGTAATTACAGCAAGCCTGGAACCTATAGCCTGCAAAACAAATGGAAAACACTGTTAGACGCCTTCCGATCATCTCTAAAGGCCATGCTCATGTATTTTCTTAGGGACTGTGAAAATTCAGCTTTGTGAAAATCTCATCTCCTCGGTTATGAGCTAATAAGTTAGTAGTAAAAGTTTACATGTAACTTTATTTGGTTTCCCAGATGAGGATTTCCATGACTTCAGAATAAATACTGAAAGTAGGTCAATAATTCAGAGTTCAATTACATATTTCTATCTCATTTGATTTTTTAATACCACAAAACTTTTCATTAAACGACACCATGATCCCTAACACAAGCTCTGCAAATTAGCAAGATAAAAAAGTCTGACAATTATGTTCAACTGGGACCGTTGGAAATTTCCAATGTTAGATGCATGACTACCCATAATTTAAGCCTAATATTGTCATTGATAGGCATCAGAACCTTCAGTTTACATGCCAGAAGGAGCCTGAAGCATAACTGTCAGAAGCATTCAGTTATTTCCAACTGAAAAGTCAGAAGTCAAAATACAAAGTTGATTCGCTTCACTACTCTACACCCCTCTCCCTTACCCTGGAAATGCCCCACAACCTCAAGCCTTTCCAAATTCCTGCTCTGGGCCACGTCTTATCAACTCTCCAAATTTCCTCTGCCTAGGTGGGGCCATTCTCAGGGGAAGATTAATGACGGAGACCAGTCTCGAATGGTCATTTCCACCTCTGGGGCCTTGGTCAAATTTTTCCCAACCACAAAATGACTAGGTACACTGATTAATAACCAAAGCTTCTGGCGGCCCTAAGTTTTAAGACAGAATTCTTTCCAAGCCCCTGCCTCAATGTCGACCTTCTGAAATCATTTGAAACTTATGTTGGTATAAACACCAAATCAGTAACTAGGGGGAAACAGTATTAAAAAACTACCAATAGCTCTATAATTAAATTCCATACCAAGGAATTGCACCAGGGCTGCAAGAAACGGCATATATAACAGAGCATTTATTTTTATTTGATGCCATCACTGAGCTTATATAAAGGGAGGTTTAGCCATATCTGGCATAAGTCAGAGTGGAGTGGCCTTTCAAATCAGCTCTGTATTTGCACATTTTAAATTTCAAAGTCAAGGATAATAATCTGAAAAGAGTCTGTGGCGCAGGCAAGATGGAGACTGTTCCTTTTTCAGTATCCATCAGCCCTACTTAGAACCCATTTCCCACAGCACCTGACTGAAAGAAGCCCTCAGAACATCCCCCAAGTTCACAGCAAATTACTCCAGTATCTAAGCTTCCATACATGTAAATGTTTCACTGAGGATGGCAGCCAAGGCCACAGAAATAAGTAAAATGGATCAAAGATGCTTCTTTAATGCGCATGAAAGATGATCCAAAAAACCTAGAACCTTAAGCTGGTGGGGAGTAAGCCCCTGTCACAGTATGATTAAATGCTTCCGGTGACACTGTACTGGTTACTGTTCTTTATTCTAATGATTGATTCACCGTACCAATATCTATTCCTCATACAGAAAAAGTCTCTAGAACACTCCATGGGAGAGCATAGATTACTAGAAGCCAGAAACTTTTCATTTCAACAATGAGGAGGAGGGTAGGTAACATTCTAAAGCCAGAGCCCAAGAGTGAAACAAAGTTAGGACAAAAATGCTTTAATATCTGAAACTCACAAAGTCTCTCCTCGAAATCTCTCCACCCCACTATGCTATCACATTTTTCTACCCACCTTTTCCTGTTCCTCTCTCTCCTGTTATTTATTTCCTCCTCAGAGCACCATCATATCACTTGAAACCCAATTTTAAAATATGTGAGTTTACTAGGGGAAAAAAGCCTATTTCATCTTTCTCTCATCCCCCTTCTCCAGAAATTTTTTTTTTCTAAAATATAGCTTCTTTTGACTTTTGCTGCTGCTGCTAAGTCACTTCAGTCGTGGCCAACTGTGAGGCCCCATAGACAGCAGCCCATCAGGCTCCCCCGTCCCTGGGATTCTCCAGGCAAGAACACTGGAGTCGGTTGCCATTTCCTTCTCCAATGCGTGAAAATGAAAAGTTGAAGTCTTTTGACTTCTATATGGCTCTTATTTGCTTTTTTTCTCAAAATTCCAACCCTTTTATGAAAATTAAACAGCCCACCATTTCATAGGCAAATATTGAGATTTTTGAAAGAAAATAAAAGTTTTCTTCTGATTTATGATTAGCAGGATTAAGCTAATTAATATCAATACATCAGAGAAAATTATTGATGGTGAAGTTAAATATGAAAAAATTAGATAAACATTATCACTAACTATATACACACAGACTTGAGTTTGCCCTGTTTTATGTGGCAATGATTTTTGACAGCATTGCTTGCCTAACATATTTATATATTATAAATTATGTACTTATATATTATATAATTATATATTATATATATAAAATTATATATATTATAAAATATACTACTTCCTACTGTAAAACAGATAAACACATGTATATGTATATACATATTCTGTATTCGAGCACGCTCAGTCGTGTCCAACTCTTGGCAACCCCATGGACTATAGCCCGACGGGCTCCTCTTTCCATGGACTTTTCCAGGCAAGAAAATCGGGAGTGGGCTGCCATTTCCTCCTCCAATGGATCTTCCCGATCCAGGGATCGAAACTGTACCTCTTGCATCTCCTACACAGAAGGCAGATTCTTTGCCACTTGGGCCACCTGGGGAGCCCCATGTGTGTCTGTATGTGTGTACCTTTATACATATAAACACACATATCCATCATCATAAGCAGGTCAGTTGGTGGCATGGAAGGGATTCAACTGTCCTCTCAGCCAATTTGTGACAACAGCTATATTTTATTTTGAAAGTTATCGGTATTTGCATTTATGAAATTTTAGTCTTTTTTTTTCAACTGGAGGATAACTGCCTTACAATGTTGTGTTCATTTCTACTGTACAATGTGAATCAGCTATCACCTTATGCTAGCTTAAATTAAAAATAAAATAGAGTAATACTTTATATCTTCTTCCACCTACCACCCCATTTCCCTGCCCCACTTATGAGAAAGTCTTATGACGATTTGTCCAACTGTGTCCTATTCCTCTTTCCCTCTTTGTCTTAAATTCATTCCCATCAGGATTTCATTCCCGTCACACCATGGAAACAGGTCTTGTTTGAACCCTAAGCACTTCCACGTGGCTACAACACTGTACAATATATGCTTGTCTTGCATGCTTATCAGCAGGATTTGAGACTCTAGACTGCTCTCTTCTTAAAATGCTTTCTCATGTTGTTCTAGGATACTGCCCATCTTCCTCAACAGCCAAGAATTCTTGCTGTTCTTCACTGGGTCATCCTCATAGCTGAGCTCACACTATGCTGTTTTCTCTATCCACCCTTGCTTCCTTTGCTATCTCCTCCTGACTCGTGGCTTTAAAAGCCACCCATGGGCTGAAAAATCTCCTAATGTTTATTTCCAGATGTCTCTGCTAACCTCCAGACTTGCAAACCTATTTGCCATCAGTATATCTCCCATCTACTGTGGGCATCTCACATGCACCATGTCCCAAACACAACTCTTTTCACAGGTTTCCTGGTTTCATTAAAAAGTAATTCCATTTCTTCAGTTGTGCAGATCCAAAATTTTGGAGTCATCCTTAAATCTCCTTTCTCTTATATCTCATAACCACATTCAGCCACTCAACAAATTCTGTTGGCTATTTCTTCAAACTATATCCAATTTGATTTTGTCATCACTTTCTCTATGACTATCCTAGTCTAAAACACTATCTTCCCTCCCGCTGGATTATTGCAATGAGCCCCCTGCCTCTCCCTGGCCCCTTTAGCCTATTCACACAGCAGTCTTCAAAAATTTCAGATCATGTACCTACTATGTTCAAAACTCTACAATGCTTTCTCATATAATTTCAGATATGCTGTTGATCTCAACTTATGACATTTCCTTTCACACCTTTTATTCCCAGCCATACTAGCTTCCCTGCTGTTTTAGGACCAGTTGTGGAAATAGAGGCTCCAGGAGCCTCAGGGGCCTTGCCCTTGCTGATCCTCCTGTCAGAGAACACGCCACTCTAGACACCTGCAGGGCTGGCATCCTTCCTTCCTTCATGCCTCTCGAGTTCGTCACCACATCACTGAGACGGAGGCCTTCCTTCCCTACCATGCCGTAACAGCGTACCCCACAGCCACTTTTCTCATAGCACTTACAACCATCTGACATCCTGTGAGGACTGCATAAGGGCACGATTATTGTCTGTTTAGGAAGTTCAAAGTTATTTCAAGTGATGTTTACCTTCTGTTCTATTAGATTCTGTACAGTTTGACCTAAACCTCAATTTCTGTTGACGTGCTTGCTTTAAGCAAAGAGATCTGTATTAAAATAACAATGTCTAAGATTTTATTGGGATGTTATAACTCTGTATTGCTTCCACGTTCATAACTGAATTTATTCTTACAGAAACCCCATGTATTAGTAGAAGAAATGTAATCACAATACTCTTACAGAAAGATTAAAAGCTAAAGACTGATATGGTTCAAGGGAGCTAAAGCCATGGCAGAGATCACATGCTTCCCCCGCCCAAATTCCACATCATCCTGTAGATTTTTCTCATAAACAGACCAGGTGGCGCTGGTGGTAAAGAACCTGCATGCCAGTGCAGGAGACGTAAGAGACGTGGGTTCAGTCCCTGGGTCAGGAAGATCCCCTGGAGGAGGGCACGGAAACACTCCAGTGTTCTTGCCTGGAGAATCCTCATGGACAGAGGAGCCTGGCGGGCTGCAGTCCATGGGGTCGCAGAGGCTCAGACACGACTGAAGCAACTTAGCCTGCACACATGGTGCAGTTAAGGAAGAAACTGTCACTTTACCCACCAATCAAAACCTGCTGGTTTAACAGTTTCCAGTTATATTAGTTACAGAGATTCATGCAGTAGCAGAATTTAAGTTTTATAGTCTGATAAAATTGTTCCTTTTACCCTTGTTTTAATTTTTTCACACTCTTTTCATTTCTCTCAACCTTTGTCTAGATTTTCTTCTCTCCCCTCTGAATTCAGTGCCCTTAAACTTTCTTACAGCAACCACATACACTTTTTTTCAGTAGCAATTACAATTTTCTGGGGATTTGCAAAGCATTAAAACAGACTGAAAAGATTAAAAAAAAAAAAAGACTGGGCTTGCATGATACACTGATAAAAACGTCCTATTAAAATAATTATCCTTCTACATGTATTTATATAATAGCATGAGTAAGATGGAAAATAACAAAACAAAGCTCAAAAGTTATCACTGTTATAGTGATTCAGCATATGATATTTAAACAGATAATATTTTTTCCGTAAGGCACATGACATATTGCATAGGTTAAAGGTTTGACATTTTCTAAATGACGATGAGAATTAACTGCAGGGAGAGAATTAGTTTCATGCTCAAATTCTAAATGGCCCTTTAGGACAATCACAGCAGAAAGGAGGCTGTCATACCCCTTTAACTTGAGCGGCGTCAGTGGCAAGTCTGGTCGTCAATGCTCCCGTGGTGTTTTTAGGGTCATCGAACCAGCTCACATCCTGTGGCAGAGAAACTGATTTCATTATCTTAAAGCCTGACACATGAGACCTTCAGCTCAAGAGCACTGACAGGGTGCCCTTATTCTCGTACATTAAGTGCTTAGGATTTGACACTGAATAGATAAGAAAGGGACTTAATAAAGTCATAAAGAGATCATTTCACAAAAAAAGTTTTTTGAGTGCCTGCTCTGTTCCAAACATAATTGCTACGTGTTGGACCTATTCAACACTGAACAAAAATGACAGAGCTGCTGCTTTCATGAAGCCCAGATTCCAGGGACAGAAGCCACAAATTAACATACACCATGCCAAGGGGTAATACATGCTAAGAAGAAAACCAGAATGGGGTGAGAAGGAAAAAAAAGTGGGGGGAAGCACCATGTTATAGATTGGGGAGGTGAGAGAGAAGGCCTTGCTCAGGTGACATTTGAGCAGAGACCTGAGTACAGACAGGGATGAGCACATCTGGACAAGGAAGGAGCAGCATGTGCAGAAGCCCCGAGGCAGAGGCATTTTTGATCTGCTCACATACAAGCAAGAAAGCGTAAAGGTCGTCACCAGCCTTAAAGGCACCTCTGTGTAAATGTACAGAAGCTGCCTCTTCCTCAGGACAGACATCCATTCTCACTGGGCTCTCCCTCTTCCCTACCCCCACATCCACTTATGTGAGCCAGTGTGTATAGAGTAGACAGCGTATAGGGAATGAGGTGAGGCTCTAGGAGACGAGGTCTGGGGAGGTAGTGGGGGCACCCTGGTGGTCCAGTGGCTAGGACTCCACGCTTTCACTGCTGAGGGCCCAGGTTCAATCCCTGGTCAGGGAACTAAGATCCCACAAGCTGTATCACGTGGACAAAAAAAAAAATCCAGATTTTACCCTGAGAGATATGGGCAGCTTTCAGCAGCTTTTAAGCAGAGGGATGTGATTTAACTTTTATCTTGGAAGAATGCTTCTGCTTCTTGGCCAATGAACCTAGTGGACTAGGATAAGGATGGAGGCAGTGAGACAGGTTAGGAGGCTGTTGTAACATTGGATAAAGAAGAGGGGACAAGGACAACTCCTAGGACTTTAACCTGAGCAACTGGCAGAATGGAGGTGCCATTTATTGATATTGGGGAGGTCTAGGTAAGGAGTAAGCCCTTCAGCAAAGGGTGGAAGGGGTGTCCAAAGCTCAGTTTTGGAGACATTTGGTATGAAATTAATAGACATTCAAAGAGAGAAGTAAAATAAACAGCTGACTATGGTTTATGGCCAAATAACTGAATTGGGTTAAAAAAAAAAATCAACCAAAGAAATCTAGGTTAAAGTTTAATATTCTACATAAAACAGAATTTTCTTTATAAAACCACTTACACTTTTAAATACAAAAATACTAAAAACATTGTGAGTCTGAAGTTTCAGTTTGTGTCTGTTACAAAAATAACTAAGGTCCTAAGAAGTTATCTCAACTATGATTTGTAGTTAAAGCAGCATTTATCAAATATTCAAGAAAAAACTAATTATAACACATTATAATTTATTATAGTACATATCCATTTGCTTTTTTAAAATTATTAAGTGTCTCCCCCACTGGAACATAACTGCCATATATATATACAGGCACCACTCTGACTTGAAGACCTTTACAACACCTAGTATTATGTCTTGTAAGCAAAAGGCACTTAATGCATGATGGCTGGACTGAATAATTTGTGGAGAGGGTATGACACAAATCCTCAACTCAGCTTCCAAAGTATAAGGGGCCTAGGAGTTGGCCTACGGCCTGGCAGGGGAATGGGGCATTTAGCCCTGGGTCCAGGCCGTGAGTCTAATTCGGATCTGTTACAAATACTGTCTGACTGAAAACCCTGACAAGAGGCCCTACACCAAACAGGCTCTCTCACTCACTGGACATGGTCCTGGCTCTGTCAGTCCCAAGCCAGCAATCCACATGATCATGTCTTAGTTTTAAGTGGCAGGGGGTCACCATACTTATGAGCCAGGGTTCAAATCCTGCCCCATTCCCCCAGGTCACTGTATCAGTGATTTTAAAATGGAAAGTTACAAAGTCACAGGCAAAATGTGAGTGATTGTTAAAGACACCTTCCCCTTTGAACTGATCTGCTTTCAGTGACATGTCTTGAGCCCCACTCCCTCTTCCCCTAAGAAAACATTCACATCCATGTGTTGTCAGGGTCTGGAAGGTGTCCAGTGTGAGAGACCTAAGTCATTATTGGCTGTGACACTGCAGCTTGAATGAATCTATCAGTCAAGCCCCAGCAAAGAAACCAAGCAGCAGGAAGTGGGCCACGGGGATGCCTTTTGATCTGTGGAAAGAAAGGGTTCAGAGGGCACTTCTTGGCAGGAATAAACATGAGCATCATGGGTCTCCCGGGGAGAGAAGGAAAGAAAGAGAGGAAAGGGATGTGGGACACGGAAGATCGCTTCCATCTTCCCTGCCTACAGCTGCTGAGACGGAGGCTGCAGGTGAACCTGCCTTGGAGACGCCATCTGTCCCGCAGGCACCCTGGTCCCTGCGTGCACCCCCAGCAGAGCGCCCAGGGGCTCACTCTACGTCACCCGACAGCAACTCCGCCGCCTCCCACAGGGCACAGTGCACCCTCCAGGGCACCGTCCCCGACAGACACACCTGTCTCAGCATGGACCTGAACACCATGTACCGCAGCCGCCTGGTGAGGATCTCTCCCGCCTTGCCGAACGTGAAGCCCTGTGAAGAGAGACACGCCGCAGGGGAGAGGACGGTCAGAGACTGGGCCGCCGATGACGCCCCAGGAGAGGGACTTGGGGTCGGTGCCGAGGCAGGGCACCCGAGTCAGAAAGCCCCATTTCAGGGCTTGGCGGCTCTGTTTCTCAGACAGCATACCATGTGCGTGGCCGCACCACCAGCAGAGGTGGGAGGATCTGGTTTTGAAATCGACACTGCTGCTCCCCAGCCAGCGTGCCGGCCCATCGCGGATCTACAGGAAAGTGGTTCTGCTGTCTCCCTTCCCACTCCCGCTTCTCTCTCTCAGGAACCAGGGTCTGTCACTCAGGAAGCTGGGGAGTTCTTCCCAAGGCAAGGGGAAATCGGCTCCAACCCAGGGGTTTAGATTATGAATCATCCCAAGCAGGAAATTTTTGAGAGTGAATGGGGGAGGTGGGTGGGGGGTGGGCACTGGTCACAATTACACGAGACCTGAGGTACAACCTGGAAAAACAGGAATCTGCAGCCGCTCCAGCCATAAAAGATGCAGAGAACAAAGATACCAAATTCTTTGTTTCCAAGTTAAAAGAAAAGCCAAAGTCTAAGAGAGAAATAGGTTGGAAAGGAAGGCTTACTGGAGAGAGAGTTTTCTGCACTGATCTCCAAGGATAGGGCTCCAAGGACATGACCTATGCCTGGCAGGAGAGAAGAGGGTAAGGTGTGAGTGTATGGCCATGCTGGGCCACATCTGGCGAGGAAGGGGGACAGACCCTCATCCCGGGAGCTTGGGGATATACAGGGCCAGACTGAGGCACTGCGCCACTTTCTGTCTGGAGCTCCGGGAAGGGGAAGTTCACACAAGGAGCTTGCTACACAATGGCCCAGGGAGAGCAGAGTGGAAATGGCTGGATGGTGCATTAGAAGAAGGGAAGCCCGAGGAAGAGCCCAGAGTCTCCTGCAGCATCTGAAACATGACAGAAGGCAACCGTAGCTCCTCCACACTCGCAGGTAGCAGGCTGGACATCATGGAGAAAGAGAGAAGAAACAGGGGCAAAGAGCCCAAGTGAAAAGAAAGCGAACTCTCCCTCGTGGTCCTGATCAAGGGGCACAGCCAGGCTGGACCGTGTAACTGCAGGCCAGCAGCCCCTCCGGTCACCAGTGTGAAGCGGGGGCAGGGGGGTGCACAGACCAGCACCCCCACCCGGGGCTGCAATGCTGCGTACCCTCTCTGCTAATACACACCAAGCCGGGGCGGGGGGAGACAGAGACCCTGGATTAACTGAGCTGAAGCCTGCAGTTACCAAAACGATTAACTTGACTAGGAAATGACCAGATGAAGGTTTCCGCTTGTTAAACTGAATGAAACCTGGACTATCCTGCCCACTATGAGAATACTACTCTTGTCATTTAGCTGAGAACTAGCCATTGATAAGTACGTCAGGAACATTATCTCTACAAGTCCTGAGGACAGACCTATCATTACCACTTTACAGAAGAAATGGAGGTTGAGGGGGGCTGGGAAGTGGCCAGAGGCTACAGTTCTAAGGCGGCAGACTTGGAATCTGATGTGCATCTAAGAGAACCTTAACCAGAATGAGCACCCAGAGCCTGGGCTGTAATCCCCCGGTGAGCTCCTTCCTTGCTTTTCTAAATGAGGGGCCGACACCATCTGACACCATGTTCTGACCCCACTGCTGGACAGTGCCACCTCTGCACTTCTGAGGTCCTGAGTTCACAGCCTTTGTTCTCACCTGGGTTTGCCAGGCAAGCCAGGCTCCACGCTCCCTGGGTATCACTGTGTGACCAAGGTACCGCTTTAACTGCCTTTGCGTCACCAACTCAGATTTCTGGCTCAAAGCCTATCCCGCTCCAAGGTCCTTAACCAACTGCACCCTCAGCAACCTCTACATTCTCCCAACTTCTCTGGCATTAATACTTGGTACGACAATACTGTATACAAGTTAGAGTGTCACATATGTTCTAGTATGATCAGATTCCCCAAAGAGACTTGAAGGACTCAGTAACAAGAGAGTCCAGGGTTTGGGATCTCCTATCATGTCCAAAAAAGTGTCCTGTCTATGCAAGATATATAAACATGCTCACACCATACAAAATAAAGAGATCTATTGAGAGTTTTATCTTAAAAAATTACATGTGACTAACCACTCATTCTGGAGAAGGAAATGGCAACCCAGTCCAGTATTCTTGCCTGGAGAACCCCATGAACAGAGGAGACTGGAGGGCTGCTGTCCATAGGGTCACACAGAGTCAGATACGACAAAAGCGACTTAGCATGCATGCATGCATTGGACAAGGAAATGGCAACCCACTCCAGTATTCTTGCCTGGAGAACCCCATGGACAGAGGAGCCTGGAGGGCTGCTGTCCATAGGGTCACACAGAGTCAGATATGACAAAAGCGACTTAGCAGCAGCAGGAGCAGCAACCACTCATTCATTTAATAAGTGAATATGTTTATAATCATCTCACACACAACTAGGAATTTACCTCTTTTCATCATCAAGAGTCAGCTACCATTATCCCCATTTTAACAGATGAGGGAATTTGAGATTTCAACAGTTTAAGTTATTTACTTGCCCAAGGACACAAAATTAGGAACTGGTGCAACTCATACCTGACCCTACACCTAACACCAAAGCCCATACTGCCTTACCATGCGGAGCTTCTAGAGTGCTTAAACTCCTGGCAATTTCATTTCAGCCAAATGATCTGCAGTCTGTAAGATCTGATACTTTATGTATGCTTACTACAGTTTTTGTTTGAAGACTGACATTCTTCCATCATTAGAAAGGTTCCTTCTTCTTCAGGAAAAGAATGACAAACTCTTCAAATATTTTTAAAATCAGCATGACTGGCTTGTGGGGCTCTAAGGTTTGTCCTTGCTTTTAGAACACTGGGAGATACTCGAGTATCAGAACTGGATGGCAGTACTTATATATCCAAACATATGTCCACAGCTCCCCTAGATTCCATTTTTAAGACCCCTACTTTAACTTCTAATCATTGTGTTAGATCAGATACTCACTGTTCCCTCTGATCATGAAGATTTCCAGTCAGGGGAGAAGGTGGGGAGAAGGAAGGAAGCAAGGGTTCCTTCCCTTGGGGTGTAAGAGGAAGCCAGAGGAAGAAAACATCTTTGATTTAAGTCAAGGAAACTGACTGCTAAGAGCCCAGTGACTAGAGGAGCGACTCTACTAAAAAGCAAATCACACAGATGTTTAATAAATCCCCCCTGCTGGGTAATGATATATTTCTCCAAATGGAAAAAAACAGTGAAAATGTAGACACTTACCTGGAGGAAAAATGTAATAAAAGAAATAATTCCAAGGATTAGAAACAACAGTGAAAACAAGTTACTATTCTGTCGTTTGGTTTCATCATCCGCATCTCTGGTGAAAATCTGGCCAAAAAAAATATTTAAAGGGTTTTCAGTACCACTGAAGAAACCATTCAAAGTCTGACCCATTTTACACCTAGTTAGAATTTGGGGTCAAGAGGGCCTTAGCATGTGGAGGTCAGGCAGGCTTCCCTAAGGCCAGACTTAAATGGGGCAGTATTGTGCCTTCCCTAGGGGCCAAGGCCTGTCATTCATTCATTAATCTATCTAATTCTTTCTCTGCTCATACTCCTTCTTGAAGTAACAGGTGCTTCAAGTCAGCATCAAACCCACTACAGCAGAACTGGGGACAAATACTCTCTTATTCCTCTGATGGGAAACTACACTGTTTGGCAGTCTGTTGTTTCACAGGTAGACATTTCCAACTGTCCCAAGGTGTCTGGAGACACATCTGCTGATGTGGCTTTGGTGAGCCCAGGAGGAGAGCTCATATATTCAGCCCAGGTCTCTCTGAAGAAAGAGGTGGGCTTCTTCAGCCAACCTTCTTTGTAGGGTTGCCTGTTAGAGAGTGGGGAACTACAGCCAGCTGACCCAGAACTACACTGGGAGACCTTGGTTAAAAGAGCTGAACAGGATGCCTTGGGCCCAAAAAGGATGCAGAGAACAACCACTTCACAGGGGAAGAAAACCATCTTCCTTCACACTGGGCCAAAATCTGACTTGTGAGATTGTAACTTTACGGTAGAAAATGCCATCATGAAGAGCAGGCGCGACCAGTATCCGTCAACCGGAATCTTTCGCAAGCTGTCCCGTTTGTTTTCCTCTTACTGTGTGGGACGGACATCCCACGGGGGCCAAGCGCTCAGCCCCATCCTGTCCTGACAAGCACATGAGTCAGGAGTGGCTCTCCCCTGAGCTGGAGTGATGGACACGCGGGGACCCTCTGAACATCAGTCACAGAACCATTCGGGGGGGACTCAGAGTGCAATGATGCAGGTGGGGGACAGTCGCCTGGTCAGTGTCATGGGCTGTCTTCCAGGGTCTCATTCCCAGGGCCCAAGGACAGAAACCAACTGCCACAACAAAGGGAGTTTTGAAAAATCAGTTTTCCTATCACAAATAAAACTTCTGCTCCTACATCTTCAAGCTGCCAGATGAAGGTGCAATGCATGGTTTTGTGGCTTTTATATAAATTTACCTATACAAACAGTTCATTCTTTAGTCAGGACTCACAGGTAAGTCCCCAAAATGAACATAAACACTTACTCCTATAATCCTTGAAAATATGACTGAGAATGCTGGTTGCAGACCTCCATTTATAATGGCGCAAAATACACCAACCACAAAATAAGGCCATTCAGTTATATTCAGCTTCAGAATCCTCCAAAAGGAAACTGGAGGTACACTGTCATCCTGGAGAACACAAAATATTACAACAAACGAGTTAGGAAAATAACTGATCTTAATGGATTGAACTGATGTACAGTTCTTCTCTAGGCACAACAATTTTTAAACAAATATATCTTATTCCTACTTCCTTATCAATTGTTGCCTGGGTAACTTTTTTTAAAAAGTGCTGACAGATTCTGTTACATTGTGCCTTCATTTTTAAAGAAATACATGATGAGTCCATAAATATTTAAGTCTCACCTGACATCTGGAATGTGACAAGCGTATTTGTAAGGATGAAAGAACAAAAATGTTTGTATTTGAAGACCCACTATTATCTCTTTACATTATAAGCTCTAATTCTAAAATTCTTATCCTATAAATTATCATTCATAAATTCCACTTTAGAGTTAACATGTTGAGATTTGGGCCTGTGGACCAAGCTAAGGGATAGGACAGGGAATTCTGGATAACCCTTTCTTGCTCCCACTCCTATCCCAGCCTTAGCCCACTGGTAAAGACATCAGTCTGCAGCCTCCTCTGTACCAAAGTTTCTTCTGTACTGAGCTTTCTGTCCTGGCTTTGGGATCCACGGACACTCCTGCGAGTTGATTTTCTTCTGATTAGACTGGATCTTGAATCTTGGCAGGACGTGTACAAGTCATCAATTTCACTTAGGGATTCACCAGGGGTATTTTCTAATTCAAGTTCATTTCCTTTTGTCTAGAATAAACAAGAAATATGCATAAGTTGGTTAGGTGGAGTTAACCAATGAAATCTAATCGTTCGACAGCAGATATCAAGGAAAATGGTAATTTAAGTCCTCATGGGAAAGGATGAAGTGGAACTGCCATTTTTTTGGTGTGATTATATTTGAAAATTAAAACCATTAAATAAGGCTCCCCATAAACTGTGCTGAAACAACATGGCATCCATTCCAAGTATCTTATCTAGTCACCTCCTTTGTGTGAGTGTTTTTGGCTCAATCAGATTTGCTTTGGACCAGTGACATCAACACAAATAATGGTGCAAGTCATACTGTGAGACACAATGTTTTCAGTAGACATGTCAAAAAAAGTGAAAGGTAAAGTTAACTTTAATTATATATTTTATCTAACCTTTAATGTATCTAAGATACTAGATTAACATGTAATGAGTGTAAAAACTTTTTGAGATAGCTTGCATTTTTCTTTGGACTAAGTCTTTGGACTCTGGTATGCACCTTCAACTTACAAACACTTCAGTTCAGATTAACCACCACTAACATGCTCAACAGCCGTGTGTGGCGAGCAGCTGCTAGAGTGGATACTGCCGCGGCTGCTGATTAGTCACTCAGTCGGGTCCTACCCTTTGTGCGACCCCGTGGACTGTAACCTGCCAGGCTCCTCTGTCTATGGAATTCTCCCAGCAGGAATACTGGAGTGGGTTGCCATCTCCTTCTCCAGGGGATCTTCCTGACCTAGGGATTGAGCCCACGTCTCTTGCCTGGCAGGCAGATTCTTTACCACTGAGCCACCTACGAAGCCCTTACTAGAGTGGATAGCTCACTTTTAAGCCTTTTTAACTTCACCTTTCTCTATCCTTCTTCATTTCTCTCCTTTCAAGAGGGAAAAAAAATTATCTAAAACCTGATGTGATCCTCAATCCCCCTGCTTCCCACCCAAAATTTTTTTCCCTCTTCTCAAGATAATCAATAGTAACATATATTTATAGCACCAAATACAGCAAAATCAGCTCATGCCTGAGATACTTGAGGAAACTGCTAGAGTCAGACTATACCTGCATTGTGACAAGTTTGAAGTAAATGCCTCTCTTCCCCATGAGCTCATCATGACTGCCTTTCTCCACAATAACTCCATCATCAAGACCCGCGATGACATCAGCATTACGAACCGTGGACAGACGATGCGCTATCACAATGGTGGTCCGGCCTTCCCTGGCCTAAAGGGAGAAGAAGCTAATTTTTGAATACATGAATGATTGTATGAAAAAAATTCAGTAATTCAATGTATATTTACTGATCACCAATGCCCTGGACACTGCAAAACTGTATATATGAGGCTGTCTCAGGCTTTAGTACATGTATTGTTAATGGTTTAAAATGATGTTTTAATAAGTATAAATACAAATATGACAGTCTCATATTAATACTATGTAAGCCTCTAAGATTTTACTCAATCTCTACTAGCCTAAGTTTACGTAATAATCAAGGGCTTATACAGAGGTAAAACACTCAACAGCCAAGGAATCAGTCAACTGGAGCAGATACAGGCCTGCTGTTATCCCGAGCAAGCCACCAGCACCAAGTCCCCCTGGAAGTCACCCTGTGCTCCCTCACAGACATCTGGATGACCAAGACAAACAATAAATGTGAGGCAACAAAGGCCAGGCTTCAGCACCACACTTATCTGAACTCAAATCTTAGTTCTGCTCTATATGAATTCCAGGATCTTATAGAAGTCTTTAAACCTGTGCGAGCTTCAACTTATTCACATACCAAATGGGGATATTAGTACAATGTTACTTTCTGGAGTGGTTGTGATATACAATAATGCACAGGTAGCACTGTGATGTACACAGTAAGTGCTTAATAAATGATGCTTATTTCTAGGGAGAAGCATTATGGGAAAAACTAAGGAGTTAAGTACATGTCTTAAACACCCAATCTCATTTTTATTTTCATATGAAACAAAGCCAGATAAGCAGCACGTGTCTGAGATTTCTTTAACCTTTGTAACTTTCCCAATGCTTATAATTTTTCTTATTCATTATTTCTCTCCGGGAACTAGCAATAAAATTCTCAGAATAAGCTAGCAAAAAGAGGTATAAGGATCAGTATGAAAAAGAGAAGTGAGGAAAAGTCTAGGAAGAGAAAAAAATGCACATCAGAAAAATTAGGTGGAAATAACTAGAAAGCAGAGAAGACAATGGATCAATTCTTTGGATGTTTTCAAAGGATGAGATGTGGAATGCCCCCTCTAAAATGTGCATTAAAAGGAAAAGGTATTTTTAAATGCAACCTTTCTAAATTCATTTTATTAATAATTTAATACATAGTAATATGGAAGAATAGAAAGAAAACACAGATAAGCAAAGTGAAGAGGGAAAAGCAGACTCAATCGCATCTCCATCTAATTTGGTCCACAAAATTCTCAGGGACCTTTTTTCTTTTTCCTTTCTCAACAATCTGTTACGCACTCTGACAGGATGTTTAGAGAAATAGAGTTGTTTTGTTATTAGAAGAGGGAGATAGTTGGGGCAGAAATGAGTTCATCTTTCAATTCTACTGGGAGCACTTCAACTCAGAGCACTCATGAGTGAAAAGGTTTCCGCGTTCCGTGTCCTCACAGAGCGAGCCTCGCTGTCATCAGACATCAGAGACCAAGCGCCCCATGACTCGCAAGGCACACGCATCGCGTCTGTCCGGTGAGTGAGTCACCCGGACTCAGGCACTGCAGGAAGGCCGAACTCTGCTGATGGTCAAGGACATTTCATTTCACTCCCAGCGTCATCAACCCTCTGGCACTCTCCTCAAGATAAGAGGTCTCTCATTTCCCACCATCTCTGATAGGCATCTGACCTCTTGAGAACTAGATGTAAACCTTCCTCATGCTGACCACAGTAAGAACTCATAAAACCTAAGTATCAGGGTTATCTCTAAGGCCAAGTTTTTAAGATCACAATGAAGACCAACTTTCATCTGAGTCTATATTTCTCATTGTTTAACTTTAAAAAATGTGCAAGTATCTTTCAATGAAAATTTTTTCATCTCTACCTAAAGATATACTAGAGAAATAGAAGTTATACAGATCCAGAGAGGCCTGATGGTTCTAATAGCTTAAAGAATTACTTCAGGAGAGATTTCTTTAAAAATAATATTAAGAAGAATTAACAATGGAATGTTCTTACGCTTATAAACCAGCTAGGATTGAACTGAGGTTCACCCACCTTATCCAGGGCCGCCTGAACCACCGCTTCACTCTCCGTGTCCAGCGCTGAGGTGGCCTCGTCTAGCAGGAGGATCTTGGGGTTGCGAACCAGGGCCCGGGCGATGGCGATTCTCTGCTTCTGCCCACCGCTCAGCTGGGCTCCTCTCTCTCCAACCAGGGTGTCAAATTTCTACAACACCGAAAACACAGGAGGATTAAACAACAGAAAAAGCAATCTCAGCTCAGATTTGTAAGATGGGAAGTAATCCTATCAACAACCCAAACCTCACAGGCATATGGTCCAGTTGTGTCTGTCTGTGTGTGTGTGTCTGTCTGTCTGTGTCTGTGTGTGTGTCTCTATGTGTGTGTGTGAGTGTGTGGTCGCTTCAGTCGTGTCAAACTCTGCGACTCTGTGGACTGAAGCCACCAGGCTCCTCTGTCCATGGAATTCACCAGGCAAGAATACTGGAGTGGGTTGCCACGCCCTCCCCCAGGGATCTTCCCAACCCAGGGATCGAATCTATGTCTCTATGTCTCCTGCATTAACAGGTGAGTTCTTTACCACTGGTACCACCTGGGAGGTCTCAACTTAGCAAAAAAAAACCTAATTAAAAAAATAAATGTGTCAGGTCTTCCCTCGTGATCCAGTGGTTAAGAATCTTCCTTGCAATGCACGAGACACCTGTTTGAACCCTGGTCCAGAAAGACCCCACATGCCAAGGAGCACCTAACACCATGAGCCACAACTACGGAGCCTGTGCTCCAGAGCCCAGAGCCCTGGGTGCCTAGAGCCCGTGCTCTGCAACAGGAGAAGCCGCCACACTGAGACGCCCTCGCCCGCAACTAGAGAGCAGCCCCTGCTCCCCGCAGCTAGAGAAACCCGGCTGGCAGCAATGGCGACCCAGAGTAGTCAAAAAATAAGTAAATATTCTTAAAAAGTATGTCTACTACTAGTTGATGCTACTAGAGCTTTAAAATCTGGAGTCATCTTGATTTGCCACCTTGGGAAGTTCCTCCACTTTATATTCCTTTCCTGACTTCTGATGCTTCAGGCCAGCATGCCATGACCCTCCAGCACAACAAAGATGGAGAACGACTTACATTAGGAAGTTTCATGATAAAGTCATAGGCGTTGGCTTCCTTCACAGCTTTCTGAATCTCATCCATGGTGACATCTTCACGGCCATAGCGAATGTTCTCGGCTATCGTGGTGGCAAACAGCACAGGCTCCTGACTCACCACCCCGATAATCTCCCGCAGATACCTTACGTTGATGGTCCTGATATCCTGTCCGTCGATACTGACCTAAAATAAAAAGGAGCTGTGATACGCACATAGCGCAGATTTGTGCCGTGCGATCTGCTGAGCTAAGTCAGTGCTGCAGCATCTGGTTGAACTAGAGTCGTCTCACCATGCCCTCCGTGGGGTCATACAGCCTCTGCATCAGCTGGACGGTGGTGCTCTTCCCGCAGCCGCTGTTCCCAACCAGGGCCACCGTCTGCCCACTCTCTACCTTCAGGTTGAGGCCCTTCAAGATCTATGAGAGTGAACGAGAAAGAAACTTAAACCACAGATTTCAGGACTACATACATCGTTGAATTGTCGAGTGATCATTTCATTGTACCTTAACTTCGCTTCGAGATGGGTAATGGAAGTGAACATTTCTGAATTCCAGATTTCCTTTAATATTGTCGGGTTTGTGCCCAGTCTTTGAATAGCTGTCGATGCTTGGTTTCTAAACAGAATAAAATTTCAGAAGGTTACAGCAACTGCTAGGTTACAACAAATACTTTCAATCACATTTGTGGAGAGCTGAATAAAAGTGATAAAGAAATGGACTGTTTTAGACAGACAGATAAATGGCCAGCCCAGACTTACATTATCAATGATCTTGAAGACTTCATAAGCTGCTCCTCTTGCGTTTGCAAATGCCTCAATGTTTGGAGATGCTTGTCCAATACTAAAAGCTCCAATTAATACAGAAAAGAAGACCTGAGGAATGTGAAGTAAAAGCATCGAGTTACTTAGTATTTAGTACGCTTTTTTCATATTTTTGACATCGCTAGTTAAATTTTTACATGGCAAGATAACATATGAATACTGACTATTAAAACTATTTTAAAATTGAAGTACTCTTCAGTTGAGAATGCTGAATTAATCTTACTGGATCTGTGAAATAATAAATTCTATATGACTGGATTATTTTCAATCTTCAAAGGCCAAGAATTTTGGTTTAGAGCATCAGCAGGGTATAGTGGAGATAAACCCTATTATGAGAGTCAGAAACCTGAGGTCTGAACCCTGGATTAAGCACTAAATGGCTGTATGTCTTCAGGTGATTCTCCAACAGCCTGGACTTCAATTTCCTTATTTGCAAAAACAGACAAGATTCTGTTTTCCCTACCAAGCAATCTTAGTGTTGTATCAAGTGGAACAGTACATAGGAAAATATTTTGTAAATGATAAAGCACACATTCTCCATCAGATGCAATCTTTTTTCCCCCTCCACCAAACTCTATTCTTTTTGAAGTCTGATGAACATTTTTTTTTTTTTTTCATTTTGCCCAAATCAATTTCTTATCGTACATTTGACACTGTCTCTCTACAGGTGTTAAGAGGGCTAAAGTCACTGTTCATTTCTTTGTAAATCACACAGTAGTTATATTATACAACAACTTACAGAAAAGAAATTTTGCTAAGTGTTTCTATATTCACTTTCTCAGTTAGACCTTACAACAACACTACAAGTTATGGCATCTTACTCCTGTCAATTCCATTTCGCGGAAGACGTAACAGAGTCTTCAGTGGCCTAGGTGGCTGAACCAAATCATAGTCAGTAAGTGGCAGAGCCAAAATTTGAATCAAATCGGGCTGATATCAAATCCCAGGCTCTCACTCACTCTTCTTGGCCATTATTTAATAATTCTTCAAAAATATATTCTCTAACAGTCAAACCAACACCACTAAATTTCATTGACATTTTAAAGGTGATTCATCTCTTACTATAACATCACTTACCGTGAGCACTTGTCCAATGGAATATTCTCTTGAGAGGACCAAGGAGGTCCCGTACCAGAATGCCAGGGCATAGGATGCATAGATCAACAGAAAAGCAGCACCCATAGAGATGTTGGCCGTGATAGCTTTCTTTATTCCAATTCTCTTGGCTTCTTCCAAATTTTTGTTGTACCTTGGAGAAGTAACAAATTATCACACGTGCTTGTAAAATCTTACAAAATGGGTCAATACAGCATGATGGTTGTTGAGTACTCAAGACGCTCCAAGGCCTCTGATGGGTGCTTCGCATGTATTTTCTCCCTTTGTCCACAGGTTGACCCTATGATATTAGTACTATTTTAACTCTTCTTGTAGAAAAGGAAACTGAGGCCTTATGGAAATTAATTTGTGGAGGCATGTTCTAAAAGCACCTTCTCTGGCGTTAGCAATAGTGAAATAAAAGAAGTAATACTTAGCACACTTACAGCACTTGCACTCTTTCACATATAAGACAAAACACAAGCTATGAAAACACTTGTGTTTTCCCTTTAAAATCTGCATGCATTTGAAATGTATTAATAAAATGAAGATATAATGCTAGAAAGTCCTCAATACAGACGTTTGTGGAGATGTGGACCTAGAGACTGTCATACAAAGTAAAATAAGTCAGAAGAAAACAAATATCATATATTAACACAAATATGGAATCTAGAAAAACAGTAAAGATGATCTTATTTGCAAAACAGAAATAAAGACACAGACGTAGAAAACAAACATATAGACACCAAGCGGGGGAAGAGATGGGGTGGGATGAATTCGGAGGTTTGGACGGACACATATACAACTGCTGATATGATGCATAAGACAGACAACTGATGAGGACAGGCAACTCTGCTCACTGCACTGTGGTGACCTAAAGGGGAAAGAAATTCAAAAAAGAGAGGAGATGGGGGAGGGTGTCTGTGTGTGTCTATGTCTGCTTCTCTTTGCTGTATGACAGAAACTAGCACAACATTTTAAAGCAACTATACTCCAATAAAAATTGATTTAAAACAAAGAAAGTACTCAATACAAGTAAGTCCTTGAAACCTCTGCACATCAAGGATGGAGGCAGTTTGCCCTTGCCCTTCCTCCTTCTGGGCCTGCCGGAAGGACCATATGAGAAAAACACATGCGTAGGAGCAATCTGAGCGCTCTGAATTGCCATCTAAGACTTTTTACATGTAAATAAACTCTGTCCTTTGCTAAGTCCTGTCCGACTCTTTGCAACCCTAAGGACTGTAGCCCGCCAGGCTCCTCTGTCCATGGAGTTTCCCAGGCAAGAATACTGGAGTGGGTTGCCGTGCCCTCCTCCAGGGGATCTTCCTGACCCAGGGATCGAACTCAGGTCCCCTGTATTGAAGGCAGATTCTTTATCATGTGAGCCACCAGAGAAACACCGATGAATAATTCTTACAGCAAATACAGGGGATTACACAAAGGAGGGCAAAGCCAAGGAAGCAAACAAAAACCAAAGCAATGTTGGAGATCACTGATAGACATTTCCCTCTCATTCTAATCACTTAACATAATTTGAGCACTTTTTAAACCCTGGGGAAGTGATTAATTTCTGATATTCAAGTTAAAGGAGATAGATACATAGCAGACTGTTCCGCTTAAGAAGAGCGATATGGAGGTAAGTGAATGGGGATCAGACTTAAAGAAAAAGAAGGATCTTTGCAGATACAGAACCATGGTAAAACTATCAGAGAGAGAACAGATTGTAACTGAGCCTTAAATCTGTCCTTATTCTCTTAATACAACTCCCTACAGGACGTTAGAACATTGCCTTACTGATAGAGGAGCTCATAATTGCTGAAATGAAAGAATTTATTTCTAATAGGATATATTTTGAGTTCTTTGATCCATAAACACATGATGGTATAAACATTATACAGTTTTATATTAATTTTTTTGGAGTATTTGTTCCATTTGTTAGAATGTACAAGCAGAGGTCAAGCCCTGCTCAGGTATGAGCACATATTATTTCACGCCCTCATGACATTTAAAACTACTTCAACAATAACCAGTTACCAAACCATGGCATGGCCCAATGAAATTTACATGATTACTTCTTAAAGAGTAAATTTAAACAGAACTTTATAGTGATAAAATGGTAAAACATTATTAAAGTTTCTCCCTCAAAAAATGTAAATCAACTAGCCAGTTATAACCCTTGACCAGAAAATTATTTTTGAGAAATGTGCTTCAGTGGTTGAATATACATGTCTCCCACTTTATGAGCTGATGTGATATGAAAGTACCACTGGGCATAAATTGTACATGATTACATTTAAGGAACTTTAATGTTTATGACTCACACTTTGTTTTGCCTTTATGTCAGTTCTTGCTCACGGAGACTAACATAGAAATCACTGTGATATGCTGTGTCCCAAGCAGCCAGAGGAAACTTTTGCACAGGAAGAAGCAACAAGGAAGAAAATCACTTAGATGCCAGAAAAGATAAATGAAAAAAAGAAGGGGGTAAGGAGGAGGAGAAGCAAACACTACTCCTTTTGCATAGGCTTTTTGATTAGCTTGTTAACAAAAATGTCACATGTACAAAATCAGATATTAAAATCATCAATTCATTAAAAACTCTAGTATCAAAATGGTAAAGTAGGATTTCCTAAAAGGGGTCAAAGTTACATAACAAAACACTGACAATTAGAAAAAACTATTCTTCTTAGGTAATATGAACACACTTATCAATGATGCAAATAGCCACCTATGAGAGCAAGGAAAAATTTCTGCTCTGTGTGTGTGTGTGTTAGTCACTCAGTTGTGTCCGACTCTTTGCAACCCCATAGACTAGCCCGCCAGGGCTGTCCTCTGTCCATGGGATTCTCCAGGAAAGAATACTGCTGTGGATAGCTACTCCCTTCTCCAGGGGATCTTCCCGACCCAGGGATCAAACCCAGGTCCCCTGCATTCCAAGCAAATTCTTCACCATTTGAGCCACCAGGGAAGCCACACTGTATACTACTGAATTAAATTCACTTTAAATTCTGAGAGAATTTGAGAGATCCTACTATACCTCCTAATTTGAAGAGAAAATCAAAGTAAGACCTTAATTACCTGTCTATGTGGAAGCAGCAAAGGGAAGGGTAAGAACTAGAAGGAAAACTGAAGAATTATATTTGGTCTAAGAATAGCTTTAATAATTCTATTATTGCTATTGTTTAGTCACTAAGTCATATTTGACTCTTCTGCCATCCCAGGGACTGTAGTCCACCAGGCTCCTCTGTCCATTGGATTCTCCAGGCAAGAATACTGGAATGGGCTGCCATTTCCTTCTCCAGGGGATCTTCCTGATCCACGGATTGAACACGTGTGTCTCACATTTCCTGAATTGGCTGGTGGATTCTTTACCACTGAGTCACCTGGGAAGCCTCTTAATAATTTTACTTCCAAATTAAATCCCAAATCCAGGGACTTATCATCCTTCTTCTGGACCACTTCAACAGTCTTCTGAGTGGTTCAAATTTTTGAGAGCTCTCATCCATTCACTGGACCAATTACAGAGAAATGATTTTAAAACATCAAGTAGACAGTCATTCCCTTGTTTAAATCCCTCAACTGCCGCCCTGTGCCCTTGGAGTTAAATCCTGACTCCTTATCAGGACATGCAGTCCCCATGTTCTGGCCCCCACCCACCCTCAACAGCCCCTCTTCACCTCAATCTCCTCTCATTCAACCGAGCTCCAGTCACACAAGCCTTAGGATATTTTCTAGAATATACCAAAGTCTCTGCCATCTCGGGAAACCTGGAAGACTCTTGTGTCCCTACCCTACTACAGCAGACTTTTTCTCTTCCCTCAAGTACCAGCCTCCAGGACACCTCAAATATCCAACACGCATGCCTTCCTTGACCACCATGGTTAAAGTAAACTTGTCCTGCTCACCCTCATCAGCACATTCTTTGATTCCTTCAAAACACGTTTAAACAATTCATGATTTAATTCATGCCTCTGATGTTTTTTTCTTCCTTCCTGCTCTCCTCCCTCCCTTCCTTCTCTTTTTTTCCACCTCATTATTTTGACCAGGGATCATATGAGGGCAAAAAAGGCAAAGGAGCATATCAAGATGTCGAAAGACATACAGACTTCCTATAACTCATAGCCTGAGGAAATGTGCTAATTCTTTTACAAGGTTCACATCAACAGGGAAGGTAANGGCAGGAGGAGAAGGGGACGACAGAGGATGAGATGGCTGGATGGCATCACCGACTCGATACGCATGAATCTGATGGACAGGGAGGCCTGGCGTGCTGTGATTCATGGGATTGCAAAGAATCAGACAAGACTGAGCGACTGAACTGAACTGTTTAAAAACTTTTACATTTACTTTTTGAATAATCATAATAAGAAACAGTTAATAGAAACAGCTTTTCAAGGAAATTCTGATATGAATACCAAACAACATCACCTAATGCATAAGTAAAATTAAAACTGAATAAAATTCAGAAAAGTATTTCTGTCATATTCTGGAAGGTTTAACATAATTATATCCATATTTTGAGAAAACATTTCTAAATTTTAACAGACAATTGATTTTTAAGCTTTTTGATGTTAAAAAAAACAATCCAGTGAGGTCTACTTTGGTTTTGAACGTTTATTATAATTTTTGAAGACCTGGTTACTTATTTGTATCGACTTAAAAAAAAAATACTGCTTAACTGAATCAGCTTAATACCAGAATTAAAACTCTATAAAAATGCCAGCCTTTAATATATGAATAATGCTAGAATGTATAAAGTAATCAGCCTGAGCACTAATTAAAAAAGATATTTTTCTTTCTATTTTTTTATTCAAAGATTGGAGAAGGAAATGGCAACCCACTCCAGTATTCTTGCCTGGAAAATTCCAAGGACAGAGGAGCCTAGCAGGCTATAGTCCATGGGATCGCAAAGAGTCGGACACAACTGGGCAATATTCTCTCACTGCTAATACACAAGTGAAAACCCAGAGCCTAGCACAGTGCTTGGCATGTGGTAGATGCTGGATAAATTTGCCAAGTGAACTGAATGTTCAAGAAATGGCCAAGCTGGAGAAAACCTTAGGCCATCAGGTTGTAGTCTTGAGTCTACTCCTGATATTCACGAAAAACTAATTTCCAATAATTCCCAATTTTCTAGAGGACCTTTCAAAGACAGAATCCAGTAAATAACATCTTCTGAAGAAATAGTTCTACACATAAAATGAATCTTTGAATATAACTGTGTAAGCCCATATGCTTGTTAAAAAATTGANAGCTGGAGAAAACCTTAGGCCATCAGGTTGTAGTCTTGAGTCTACTCCTGATATTCACGAAAAACTAATTTCCAATAATTCCCAATTTTCTAGAGGACCTTTCAAAGACAGAATCCAGTAAATAACATCTTCTGAAGAAATAATTCTACACATAAAATGAATCTTTGAATATAACTGTGTAAGCCCATATGCTTGTTAAAAAATTGATCACTATCTTCTCTAAAAAACAAAACAAAAAAAAATCTGTATCTAATTATTTAGATCACTCCATTAAAAAATACTTTCAATTCCTTTAAACTTTCAGTGAACTAAAATAAGATTTATCTAAGTTTTGAATATTGGACCTAACACCTTTCCCTCCTTACACCCAGGTTATATATCACTACAATTTTTCATTGCTAATAATATCTTCTAAAATTATCATGTTCTTCAAATTTTTGATGCCATTAATCTAAGAAGTATTATAATCGTGTTATTTTATGCAACATTAATAAAGGAGTTTAACAGAACACTCTGTATACAGCAGGGACCCAAAAGGCTCCAGCCTCAATATAATAAGCATGTGCACCATGGAAAGTGCCAGCAGGAGAACCTGCTTGTCTCAACCTTGACAATAGATGAAGGGTGGGGGGAAAAAACATGTCCCCTGGGAACTGGAACCATAAAAGGCAACGCTTATACCGATCTGAAAAATATGAATTCACCAGCGTGGCTGAAAAACTCCTAGACCAAGAATATAATGTACATGGGCTCAGGTTAATAGTGCCCCCAGTGAGTGGCAGAAGCAATCACAAATCCTTTCTGCAAGAACTCAGCTTCTCAATCCAGACCCACAGCAATTGTAAGATGGCTCTGATTGTAGGATATGTCTCAATTTCAGAGATGATGAATTGCAAGAGAAAAATGTGCATCCGAGAATTAATGGAATACTGCACGTTCTCTAACTGCTCACTGCTGTCCACAGGAATGCCATTTTTACCCCTGGACTGTCATCAGGTACTCAGAGGCCTTCCCGTACACTGTTGTCTGCAGATCTTATTACACTGTTACTGGGACTGCTGTGTAGACAATCATATACTCTATACAGAATGACAGTTTTGCTTTTTGTTTGCCAACCTAAAAACTTTTCTTTTTTTATTTTTATGATTCTTACTCTTATTTTTTCCTTAATTTTATTATCTTGTACCGATACTACCCTAAATAGAAATGATGCCAGCAGACATATTTGTTTCGTTATTTTAAAGGAATGCTATTAACATTTTACCATTTAATAAAATTTCCTGTGGGTATCTGGTACATACTCTTTATTAAATTAAGAAAGTTTTTGTCATGAATCATCTGTAATTAACACTTTTACCTCATTCATCAAAACAAAATGTCTTTCTTCCAGTCTACTAGTGTGGTTAATTATATTCATGGATTTCCTAAGTTAAATCATCTTTGCACTTATGGGATCAAGCCATCAGGTTCAGAAATTTTTTTAATCTGATGATAGTTTTCACACTGATTCATTTAGCAAATAATTTATCTAGACTTTCTGCATCTATGTTTTAGATGAAACTGTTCTATAATTTTCCTTTCTCATATACCTGCTATCTTGTTGCGATGTCAAGGTTATACTAGGCTCATAAAATGAACTCACAACTTTATGTTTTTTTCATTCTCTCAAACAATCTCTGTAAGATGGGGTCATCTCTTTCTGGAAGTTTCGGTAAAATCTGTCTGGAAAATTATCTGGACCTGGTGGTTTTTGCATGTTTATGCATGTATGTATATGAAAGGCAAAAGACAAGAGATTTTAAACTGGATTCAATTCCTTTAATGATTATGATTCTATTCAAATTTCATCTTAAGTGAGAATTTTAACATATATTTTTCTGGGACATCATCTATCTCATCAGGGATTTTTAATTACTGGTATAAAACTGTAATTCTTAAATTTTTAAAAATCTGTAGCAACATTTTTCCTTGTACACTTTCATTTTGTTCCTGATTAAACCTGTAAAATACTACTTCATTATTTATCCATATTTTCATAAAAATTAGTTTATGGTATTTTGTCAAACCTTTGCTTCTTTATCTTTATTTTCTATTAAAATGTTTTGCCCTTAATCCAGTTATTCTTTTTCGAACTTCTTAATGTAGCTGCTTAGTTCATGAATTTTCAGAAATTTTTAAATTTCTTCTACCAAACACCCTAGTGATACCACTGGACTTGGATTCATTTTTATTTTTTTATTTTTTTTTTTCTTTTTGTTTTTTTTGGATTCATTTTTAATGTGAAACCCTAGCTTTAGGAAGAGAGAGCTTCCTGGTCCTCAGAGTATTATAAATTCAGACTCTAACAGCACCTGAGGGTGAGGCTTGCAATTTTGATTTCTACGGAGAGATGCTTTCCCTTGGTGCAATAACTAGGCAGAATCAGATAAGATTTGTCACCCCATGTTGGTAAACAGATTCTTTTTCTGGTACACCTCTCCATTGAGAAAAACTGAAAATGAAAGCCAAGTTCAAAATTTCATTCTGTGTCTACTCAGACATTTATTCAGAAAGTACTTTGCTGAATAAACTCTTGAAACAGTACCCACCATGACTCTAACGGAGTATTTAACTTCCCCAAACAATATTTACCCCAACTGGTACATCAGATATATTATCAACCTGTGGTTGTTTGTATCTGTCCGCCCCCCTCCGCCAGAATTTAAGCTCCAAGAGAAGAGGTGCTTCATTTGACTGGTTATTTGCAAGGCAACGAAGCAAGACATCCCATTTTTTAGTCAGACTCATGTTAAGGCAAAAGTAAAAACTTTAGCAAAAACTGAGATAGAGCACAGATATTGCTTTCCTCTGAACTTAGCCATCACAAATTCTCTCAGAGGATATCTTTATGGGTATGAAATATATCATATGAGAAAAGTATACTCCAAACACAGTATGTACAGTTTAAAGAATATACAGTGAGCACTCCTGTAAGTACAGCTGAGGTCACGAAATGAAACAAGGTCAGAATCAAGATGCCCCCACTATGTGCCCCGCTTTTCTCATCAACCCCTCACCTCCCCCAGAAGTGACCATTATTTTCACTTATGACCCCATCCATCTACCACAAAATACTCATTCTTAGAGAATCAAGAATTAACTTGATGGAGAAAAATTATCATCAGAGATATTATGTTTCAGCCTTAAGAAACTATTTATCTCACTACCCAACCTAGGAGACTCTAGAAAACACTTTGAATTAGCAGATATAAGAAGAATTACAACAATTAGAATCACAACTTTTCCAGAATATTAACTATGCTGTAATATACCCAAGAAGCTATTTAAGGAAACATATACATCAGAGAATACCCTTACAATCATCATCATCAACCTGAAGGGCATTTAAGATGACAGAATTTAACATCTCTACCAACTTAAAAAAGGAGACTCAAACCTTTCAAGTTCTTTCTTTTGTCCTCCAAATGCAATCACAGTTCTAATAGCCGCTAAGACCTCTTCAGCTACCGCTCCAGCTTTTGCATATGCCAATAAGTTCTTTATCAGTAAATGAAGACAGTATCTGTTTAAAAATGCAATTGCAGATAATTTAAATTTTTTAACAAGTTAATTTTACCTTTTGTACACAAATGCCACTGTACAAAGAATACTGTACTGTATATAAATCTTTTACTCGTCTTTGGTTATGAAGTCCTCTTTTTTAGTATACATATTGTAGCCATTTCTTTTTGGACTGAGATGGTATATAATAAAGCAAAATTTCAACTTTCTCACTATACTCCATGGGTTCTCATACAAATAAATAAATCTGGGACTTTGGGGGAGATTTTAAATCTTAAAAACAAGTATATACTCTAAACATCAATAAATACATCAAAAAATGGGGCAGTATATCAAAAAAATAGGTGCATTCAACATAGCAATTGCTAATTATACTCTGGTTCTGAAATACCAAGGTAGGAGGCCAGGAGAACAAAGGGGACCAAGCACTGTGTAGTGACAGGACCTCAAGAAGGTTTCAAATGGCAGGGAGGCAGAGTTCCTTTTACTAGGGTATCTGAGCATGACATTAGGCCACCATGGAGGTCTCTTTTATGGATGCTGATTTTTGTTTGGTCCCTGAACATCTGTTCTGTGGAAGGAACGGTACTGGGTCCTTTATATACACAGGATCTCCTTCACCGATTCTTCTCAATTGTACCAAGAAGTAGGCATTATTTTCCTCGCTCAATACATGAGGAAATGGAACGAGAAAGAGGTCAAGTCAATTGCTAATAAGTGAAATATCCAGGATTTAAGGCTTCACAGTATGAATCAATGGCCACTAGGGTGAATCTCTCTCTAAAACCAGCCACTGACATGTGTGGAATCCCAGAGGGCCCTGTGATTAAAATTGAGTCAACTGGCAAGTGCAAAGGACTACTACTTTTACCTGAAATGCTTGATTAGTCAACCATCTAAATACTGCACACAAGAATTCAAATAAAATTCTGAGTAAATATATTATACTCTTTCAATAAATAATTTATAGCATCTGTGGACTCATTTATATAAGTAACAACAGTCTATTCCTGCTTGTCATAAAAAGTTCAAAGTTGTTTTGATTTTAAGAGTGCATTTCTTCCTCTGCTGCGTGTGAAAGTAAAAGGAGCTACGACAGATGTAGGAATGGGTGGGTGAAGGCAAACGAACCTTTATTAAACAGGTTCTATGTGCAGATGTTGTACTGTATACACCTTCTTCTTTGGTACCCCAAACAACCACCCACTGATGCTCTAGACCTTCCTGATCTCTCCAAATGACCTCCTGCCTAGGGCTGCCCTATCACATCTGCCACAACTGCTCACAGTGCTGGGTCTGAACCAGGGAGATCACTGTCATCCCTGAACAAACAGGTCTGCATCAGGCAAGAGGTGCATACAATACAGTTTAGCTGTTTCTCTGCTCTTGTTGAAAACCTCAACCATCAACCACACCAGAAGCAGCTGACAACAGGAAGATCAGCAGAACTATTTTTGAATGAGGAGTTTCAAAACATGCTATTCTAATTTATTGTTGAAATATCAAGTACCATTCCAACTGATTCAATAAACCTGGCTTCTCTATGACCTTCCAGAATGATAAGCATATCCTTAGGCAAGACTACAGTAGAATGTTCATGAAATGTTTTGTTTTTTAACAGATCGTGTCTGTTGAAAGAAAAAAAAACACTTTCAAATACTCTCAGGGATGTGAAAAGTCAACTTTACTGTTCCTCTAATATAATATAACAGAATGGTGATACTTCCATTATTACAATCACCCACCTAAACGATATCAAATTTCAACTAACTCATCCCTTCTTCCAAAGACTGCTAATTTTTTTTAAACAAAGCCTAATTGTACTAGTGCCAGACACATGAAATTGTTATTCCTCTAAGTTAAAAGCTAATACAGGCAACTTTATATTGTTCAAACTAATACATTCAGAAGGAATAGTTTTGACCACGACAGATGTTCTGGCCTTCTTCTTTGTCCCTTTTTTCCAGTTCTCAGTGTAGGTTTTTATTTCATTTTGTTTGGGATAATTTATACATGCTTTATTTTTTTAAACTTGTTATTCTGAGATAATTGTAGACACAAAGGCAGTTCTAAGGAAGACAGTCAGATCCCATAAACCCTTTATCTGGTCTTCCCCAAACAACAACATCTTCAACATCTCTTCAGAACAAGACCCCAGCCAAAAATTCAACACTTAACATTAATTCAGTGTTATTCAGATTTACCAGTTTTACATGCACTCATGTGTGTGTATGTGTGTGTTCAGTTCCAAGCAATGTTATCACGTTAGATTCATGTGACGATAGTCACAATATAGAACAACTCCATCACTAGGACCCCTTAGTCCTACTCTTTGTAGCCACAGCCACCTCCTTTCCTACTCCTCATTCTCCTCCCCTCCACACAATCCCTAACACCTGAAAACTACTAAACTGCTCTGCCTGTTATTTTGTCATTTCAAAAATATTATATAAATGGAGCATAAGGCATGTGACCTTCTGGGACTGGCCTTTTTCACCAAGTGCAAATCTCTAGAGACTCACCCAGGTTGTGTGTGTATCAGCACTACTTTCCTTTTTATCACTGGATGCACCACAGCTGCTTAACCAGTAACCCGTTCAAGAGTATCTGGGGTTGTTTCAGTTTGGGGCTATTACTGATACAGCTGCTATGAACACCTGAATACAGATTGAGTGAATACATGAACATAATTTCTCTTAGATAAATGTCCAATACAACTGCTAGATTGTATGCTAATTGCATGTTCAGTTTTATAAGACATCGCAAACTATTTTTTCAGGTTGAATAACATTTTACATTCCCACCAATAATACATGAGTGACCCAGTTTCTCTGCATCTCAGCAGCACTTGGGGTTTCACTTTTATTTTAGACATGTTGGTAGAAGTATAATGGTATCTCGTTGCAGTTTAATTTGCTTTTCACTGACGACTAATGCTGTTAAACGACCTTTCATGTGCTGACCTACCACCTGTTTAACCTCTCTGATGACATATGTGTATCTCTTCTGCCCATTCTCTAACTGGTTCATTCGGGGTTTTTTTTCCTTAATATATATTTTTTATTGACGTACAGTCAGTGTCTCAGGTGCACAGCAAGGTGATTCAGTTACACATAAACACACATTATTCTTCAGATTATTTACCATCACAGCTTATTACAAGATACTGACTATAGTTCCTTGTGCTATACAGTAAACCTCTGTTGCTTGTGGCATACCTATTTTTCAATTAGAAATCTAGCATTCTTTTTATATGATGTCAAACAAGTGGAGTCAAAATGTCACAAATATTTTTCAGTTAGGCAAAATTTATAAGTTTTCTAAAAAGTATATATTATACATACTATTTATATATATGTAGACAAAAGCTTTTCTACTATGCTCGATAAAGGCTTGAGAAAGAACAAAAAAAGAGAGAGAGATGGAGAAACTCAAAACATAAATGAAATGCCAGCACTGAATAAGAAATAGAAAAGTGAAACAAACTAAGTAAAATTAAAGATCATTATACAGTCCAGTTGTTTTGAAACATGGTTGCTTATTAGAAACATATCTGGAACTCTGGAGAAAAAAAGCAATACCTGGGCATTTGTATTTTTCAAAAAATTCCAAGATAATTCTAATATGTATCTGGATTTTAAAAAGCGATTACAGGTTTTTCTATTAAATAGTAGTTTTGGTGATTTTTTTTTTAACCACCAAATTTTGAGAGTTCCTTATATATTTGATAAAGACTAACCCTTTGTCAGATATGTGACTTGCATGCTACTTTTTCCCAGCTTGTAGCTTGTGTTTTCATTTCCTTTACATGGTTTTCACAGAGCAAGAAGAGTTCCCACTTTTGGGGTAAAGCAGATAAAGTCTTCCTTCTTCTAGGGGAGATTGTATAAAATTGGTGTCAATTCCTCTTTAAATGTCCGATAAATTTTTCCAGTAAATGTTGTCTGTGCCTGGAGAATTCTTTTTCAGGAGCTCAGAACTTACAAAATAGATTTCTTTAATCACTATTTCATCTTAGTTGTTCTGCATATCACAATATTCACAGGCAACATAAAAATCTACTGGTATCAACATTTTACCACTTATAATTTTGGGTTCAATCACCAAATATGATTTCGAAATCTCCTGGGAAAAGACAGGCCCAAATTCCTGCTCTTTCTGTTGTTCCTTTTCCCTTCCTGATGCCCCCTCCAATATGCCTTGTATCACTTTCCTTCTGTTTGAAGAACTTCATTTAGCCAGTCTTGAATAGGAGGTATGCTAATGGAAACTTCCTCTATAGTCTTCCATGACCTAGGAATGTTTTTATCTCCCCCATCATTCCTAAAAAATACTTTAACCAAGTATCCACAGTTGACAGGTCTTTTCTTTAAGCACTTGAAATATAATTTGCCACTTCCTTCTGGTCTTTATGGTTTCAGATAAGAAATACATTGTCATTCACATTAGTGTTCCCTGTAGGTAATATGCTGTTTAGCTTTAGCCAATTTCAACTTTTTTGTCTTTAGTTTTCAATAATTTAACTATGAGTTTTAGCATGGATTTCTTTGGGTTTATCCTGTTTGAGGTTAGCTTAGCTTCTCGGACCTGAAGGTTTGTCTTTCACAAAACTTGGACATTCTCAGCAATTATTTCTTCCAATATTCCTTCAGCCTTACTTCTCTCCTTTCGTTTGGGACTCTGATGGTCACAAATGTTCTGTATCGTATTACTGTCCCACAGGTCCCTGAGGCACTTTTCACTTTCTGTTTCATGGTGGGTGACTTGCATTGTTCTATTTCCAGGTCCACTGACTCTATCCTGTCATCTCCACTCAACAAAATTAAGCCCCTCCATCACGACTTTTGTTCTACTGCTGCACCTTTCAGTTATCTAATTTCATTCTGTCCTTTTTTCTTAATTTCTGTTTCACTGCTGATATTTTCTATATCCTTTCATTTTAAGATAATCTGTAATTGATTAGTGAAGCATTTTTCTGATGACTCTTCCAAAATCCATGCCAAATAATACTGACATATGAATTATATCAGCACTTGTCAGTTAAGTGTTTTTTTCTCATTCAAGTTGTGATTTTCGTAGTTCTTGGTATGACAAGTGGTCTTTTTTTAACTATATTCTGGGCGTAGTGTCTATTATGTTAGGAGATTCTGGGTCCTATTTAAAGTCTTTTATTTTAGCAAGCAGTTACCCTTTAGGGATTTAGCATATAACTCTTAGCCTACTTCTGTGAACTGTGGGTCAAGCAGCAGGTTTACATTCAGAGTGTTTGTGGTATTACTTTCGTCAGCATGGTTTGTCTGCAGTTGCTGGGGCCCCTGCTTCTGCTACCTGAGGGAATGGAAGTGGCTCTTGAGGTTGGACCACCACCTCCTGTAGGAGTAGGATAAGGTAGTTTCCCCTCCCCTTGCCCCCTAGCTGACCCAGTCTCTCTGGGCGGGGCTAGAGAATTGAGTGCAGAGATCAAAAGAGGCTTTCTGGAGTAGGAAGTTTGCTGGGGCCAAGCCTCTTCCTGTTCTGCCTTCTTGCCCCGATGCCTCTGAGTTACAGATGAGAGCCTCAGAATCACAGGGACAAAGCAGCTTCCTCCACCAGGCCTCATTTCTTTTTTAATAAGACTGACAACCAGACAATTAACCTAGATGTCCATCAGCAGACGAATGGATAAGAAAGCTGTGGTACATATACATGATGGAATATCACTCAGCCTTTAAAAAGAATTCATTTGAATCAGTTCTAATGAGGTGGATGAAACTGGAGCCTATTATACACAGTGAAGTAAGCCAGAAAGAAAAACACCCATATACTATATTAATGCATATATATGTAATTTAGAAAGATGGTAACAATAACCCTGTATGTGAGACAGCAAAAGAGACACAGATGTACAGAACAGTCTTGTGGACTCTGTGGGAGAGGGCAAGGGTGGGATGACTTGGGAGAATGACATTGGAACATGTATATTATCATATGTGAAATGAATCGCCAGTCCAGGTTCAAAGTATGATACAGGGAGCTCGGGGCTGGTGCACTGGGAAGACCCAGAGGGATGGGGTGGGGAGGGAGGTGGGAGGGGGGTTCAGGATGGGGAACACATGTACACCCATGGCGGATTCATGTCAATGTATGGCAAAACCACTACAATGTTGTAAAGTAACTAACCTCCAATTAAAATAAACAAATTTATATTAAAAATAGTAAATAGTATCTGAAGTAATGCACAATTAATTATTAAAAGATTAACTTACTGCTTTTCCCCCTAACTTAATTAGAATAAACATCAATACATTTTAGAACAGTTTTTCAGCAAATACTGATATGAAGAATCTGCCACCTAACTTGCCTAACATGCCAGTAAACAGAAAAATCAATTAACACAAAGGCTTTTGCCAAATATTTCAAAAGATGCCATTTAGCCACCAAGAACACCATTCAAACATTGTGTTAGTCTGAACAATAAATTAATAAGAGTTCTCAGAAGTTCAATTTCTTCCTCTGTTAAATGAGATGATGTCTACACTTTACAAGAACATGTATTTCGTGCCTTTGAAGAAGAAGATAATATGATGGAATGAGGGGGAAAATATTCTGTAACAGTCTACAAACTTCTACTTCATATGTAGAAAATATTATAGCTAAATATTGCAAAAAGTGTAACTAACATTTACTAATTTGGGGGGAGATTAAGATATGTTGTTATTTTATACTCTAAAATTTCCTGGGATTTTTTTAACCTAAAAAAAGTTGAATCTGGGTAACAAGACTCTATTGTATAGCACAGGAAATGGTATTCAATAACCTGTAATAAACCATAATGGAAAAGAATATGAAAAATAATGTATATATATATATATCTGAATTACTCTGCTGAGCAACAGAAATTAACACAATATTGTAAACTAACGGCATTTCAACAAATTTTTTAAAAAAGAGAAAAAAATATGTATTTGCCTGACACAGTAGATACTTTAAAAAATGGCAGTTACCATTTATAATAGCAAAACAATATCCATCCTACGGGGTTAAATTTTTTTAATTTCTTAATACAGCCTGATCTGTTTTGTGTTAGGCTTGGGCTTGCCTGGCCCTCCGTTATTTTACATCCTTTGCCATGTGAATGTGTAGTGCTGTCTCTAATTTCTCTTTTTCTCTAAAAACTACATACCAGGCCAATCTCTCCAAGGCCACCTACACTTACACGAAATCAATTTAGAAAGAACACCACACCCAGTCTCAACAGAAAGGCCTCTGTGCAGTGATGGCCATTTGCATTGCTTTGCTTTCGTGACAGAGAGGGAACTGCAGACCTCATATGTACACGCATAAGGGGCCCTAAAATACCTCTTTTTAAAAAATTGTCTTCACACCAATGGACTGAAGTATGTATAAACACAGAGACATTTATAATGCTGACAAAACTGTTCTGCCAACAAAATAAATAAAATCTACAAAAACACTGACATCAATAATGGTAACTGGATGGGATTTACGTGCCAGTCACTGAACGTGAAGCTCTCCTTGTGAACATGGAACTGTCTACCGGGGAACACAGCTCTCCGAGAGCCGGGCATGCCTTTGGCAAGAAGGCAGAGAAGAAGATGGGAGAGCTCCATCGTTCCCTTCACCCATAACAGCACAGAGTCTGGGTGGGGACACCTCAGTGAGCTCACACCTGCCTATCCCCACTGATGTGAACAGAAGATTTAACACCAAGATTTATCAGAAGATTTAACGTCAGTGTCAGGGTCATCATGTGACAAAAACAGCCTTCTACTGGAGGAGTTGTGGGGTGTTTTTTGAGGGTGGAGACAGTTTAATAGCCTGGATTCACAGGTTTCACACCTACCTTTGCCCAGATAGCAGCTGACAGGCCAAGAACAGGACTGATGGCCAGAATCACAAGGGTGAGCTTCCAACCTTTTGTAAATCCTACTATAAAACCAGTGAAGAATGTTGACATTGCCTGAAAGAACATTCCAATTTTGTCACCAATTCCTTCATTAATTTTGGAGACGTCACTGAAAGAAGAGTGTTAGAAATAAACATCAGGATTATGAACACCAGAACTTTCCTCCTGAATCTAGCTGAGTGTGTGTGTGTGTGTGTTTCAGTGCGGGGTAAGTCAGTTTACACCCAGGATTTTGCTCGGGAACGTCCCAGGCAAGCACCATGTCGCCGCCCTAAGCTCACTCCCACAGGATGTCTTGGGTCTGGCACGTCCAGCCCCTCATTCACTGCCGGTCATGCGGGACCTCTTCATGCCCTGCCAGGGTTCTGGGAACGAAAAGGCGCATGAGGCACGATCAAGACTCAGAAGGAATTTAGCTTCAGAATTACTTCTGAGGGATGGGCACTACCTCCAGGGATTACCTCCTGACAGATTTTATGACCTTATTCTCAAAGAGTAAGCACACGTCACAGTTCAACACATACCCAGCTACATACTCTGTGAGCCGGGTGTTAAGCTCTCCAACATCATGCATGTCAAACAAGCCTATCTCCTGTCGCATGATGGCATGAAAAAACTGTTTTCTGATTCTGTGTACTTGTCTTCCAGCGGCCAGACACCAGAACGAGACCTGGATGTAAGCAGCAATAAGCACGCCAGCGCCAATTCCAGAGTAATAGTAGGCGTACCTGGAAAACGACGAGACAGCTGCACACGCGCCACTTTCCCATCAACGCACCTGTGCCCAGCAGACCACGCACCCTGCCTTTTCAGTCATCTGGCAATCCTGCTCTCCTTCAAAGCAGAGCTGATGGAGAGCATCCAACCACGGCCACCCTGGTAGAATGTCATGGTGAAGGCTGTGCTTTCTGTTTGGGCTCAAATCCTAGTTCTTAACTGCTATACAGGCTGACTCCACCTTTCGAAGTCCCAGTTTTCTAACTGGCAAAATGGAGATAAGAACTGTAACACAGTGGGACTTCCCTGGCGGTCCAGCAGTTAAGACTCTGTGCTTCCATTGCCAAGGGCATGGGTTCAATCCCTGATTGGGGAACTAAGATCCCGTATGCCTCATAACATGGCCAAGAAAAAGAACTATAACACAGTAATATATAAAAACACTTGCATCTGTGCCTGGCACACAATTAGCATGTGGAGAACGCCAGTTCTTGTGAAAGACGTGAGTGGTGTCTAAAAGCATCACAGCATTAGGTAAGGTCTACCAGTGTCATCCTGCATACCTGGATTACCCCTGTATCAGCTGATGAACACTTGGGATGGTTTCTGCACACTGGGGAATGGAAAGAAGTGACAGAACTTGCCAGAAAGTGAAACCAAGAGACGGAAATGGTCACCTGACCTTTTGGGTTATTAATCTGCCAAGAGACAACTGAGAATAAAAAACGTTTTTATACCGTCTGCCCAATTGGCCATCATGAGTTATCCTGAAATGCTTAATGAATCAAGTAGCAGACCCTCCAGTTTAAATTGTAACAATAAAAGAACATGTGCATCTTCTAAAACCAGACCCTTGATCAACTAGAAATACCAAATTTGTATTTCCTTATCTGAGTCTTCATACAGAAAAAAGCAAACAACTCATGTGCTTCACTAGGCAGTTACTTTTAAGGTAAAAACAAACATTCAAAAATGAAATACAGGATTCCAATAGTCCCACTTTTAAAAGTTCACAACTTGCCACCCTCAAAGAAAAAACTTGTATGAATCATGCAGAAACTATAAAAATGGTGATGTAACAACCAGATAGTTGCTGATGTCAATGCTCACAGCCTGATGGAAACATATCTTCCCCAAGTTATACCTGGTAATGTACAATATATTTATAAGGGAAGACAGAATTAGAATACTAAATTTTAGTTAATAGATAACTCAATATTTATTATCCAAGTGTTAATGATACAGCAAGAGATAGCTAAAAACAAGTTCCTCATTAACAAGTGGAACATGTGCTTTGAAAATGAGCTAATGTATTGTAAGCCACCAGTCTATGTTTACTCAGAAAGAAATACCTGTATTTAAGCATTTATAAGATGATTACGGGCTTCCCGGGCGGTTCAAATGGTAAAGAAACCACCTGCTATGCAGGAAGCCTAGGTTCGATCCCTGGGTTGGGAAGATTCCCTGGAGAAGGTAACAACTATCCACTCCAGTGTTCTGGCCTGGAGAATTCCACGGACAGAGGAGCCTGGCAGGTTACAGTCCATGGGATCACAAAGAGTTGGACATGACTGAGAAACTTTCACTTTCAAGATGATTATAAGGCGCTGTTTTTCATCAATATGAAAAAAGTGCCTCTCCATAAGAGTATCTGGAGGTGTTTGCGTCTCAACTTTCAAAATATGGTCAAATTTGTCTGTTTTCTTCAAACCTACGAAAGTACTTACAGGATAATGTGAAATCATTTTCTTCTGAATCACCAACTCATGCCTTTAGACATGTTTTATAAGCTGTTCTGAGAGCAAACTTCAAGGTAAGTAAATCACTAATGAAAGCTTCCAAAGCAGTTTAAGGTTAAAAGGACTATATTTATTCTGGAATGTCTTGTTTCATTGTTCAGAATAAGATGCTATATTTTAAAAAATCCTGTTAACTGATCTCATTATATCATAACTAAAGCTATCCAAGAAGCAAACTAATAATACAAAGCCAATGCAAATAATGTGATTCTTAACTGCATTTTAAATAAGCTCACTTTGAACCCCTCTAATTTCCCTGCAGATGATATTCTATATTTACCAATGCATACATCAATCTGATCCAGGCTTAACCTTCACTTTAGAGTGTCTTAGGCAGCAAATTCTTTTCTTGAAGAAAAAGACCTATACTATATCCTTCTAAAAAACTAACAATGATGGTGCTCCCCTCAAAACTTTGAATCTTTATCATAATAGTGCAAAATTTTAAACTGTATCACAATTGGATTAAGACAGAAAGGCTTAGCAATAGTAGAAAAATGTCTACTTATGTGGTCATTTCCTTCTCCAGCTTCTTGCCATAATCTGTTTTGTCTATAGTACCTAGTTCACCACAAAACAAACATACACTGTTATGTCTCTTTATTTTCCATTAAAAATATGCATGTAAATAGAATGTCCTCCACAGTCAAGTATTAATAATCTGCTTTCCAATGCAGGGGACATGGGTTCAATCCCTGGTCAAGGAACTAAGATCCCATATGCTGTACATGACAACTAAGCCCTCATGCCCTGGAGCATGCATGCCACAACTAGAGAAGCCCATGCGCCCCAACAGGAAAAGCCCACGTACCCCCAAAAAAATCCCACATGCCACAACTAAGACCAGACACAGACAAATGAGGAACTTTCAAAAAGATAAGCATGTAAAAATGAATCAAACTGTGTCACTTAACAACTTACACAAAAATAGGTCAAACTAATTTAACTGCAATTATCTATAAGCATCAGGGCATCTGTGCAAATCCTTTACTACTGGCTGTGTGCAACCACACACACACTAAATTCAGTGAAGCTTATTTGTAAGAAGAAAGCTGCACTGATTAAGGAGGAGTCTGTCAGCAGAGATACTAGTGTCCCTGGATTAAAATGTTTTCTGAAATACCATTCCAAGATGACATGGAGAAAAATCTTTTCTTCGGGCTTTGTCCTGGTAAATATCAGTGCAGACTTGACCCTAAACCATTTAGTATTTCAAACTGAACATCACATTTCTTCAGTTTTTATTTTAAAAATTTAAGATACAAAGAATGTAATAAACACCAGTGAGCTCATTATGCAGTATTAGCAAATGTTAACATTTTAGGACAAGGTACATTAAAACTCTAACACCTCGCTCCAAACACACACACACACACACACACACACACACACACACATATGCATGCACTAGCCACTGTTCATATTCTGGTGTGAATTTTTCTTCAGATTTTATTTTCTATATGCAAGTATACACATATATCAATACACACACATGCTTATTTTAAAGGACAGAATCACAGTCCACATTCAGTGGACAACTTTCCATGTCCGTGTGTGGGTATGTGGGGCCTCCCCAGTGGCTTAGTTAGTAATGAATGTGTCTGCAATGTGGGAGACATGGGTTTGATCCCTGGGTTGGGAAGAGCCCCTGGAGAAGGGAACGGCTACCCACTCCAGTATTCTGGTCTGGAGAATTCCATGGAAAGAGGAGACGGGCAGGCTATATCCCGTGGGGTTGCAAAGAGTCAGACACGACTGAGTGACTTTCACATGTGTGCATATATGTGTATCTTTGTTTTTTCAAAGTTGCATCTATTTCAGTTGCTTCCAGTCTTACTGTTACATGCAATGCTGCATTAAACATACCTGTCCACATATATTATATATGGTGAATATTTTTGGAGGATACATTATCATAATCAAGATGGCTGGATCAATGTGGGGAGCACACTTTAAGTCTTGTAGTCATTCCAAAAGTTACAATGCAACATAAGAGGGCCTAGTTCAGGTGAGTGTGCTCTTGATAGGTATGGGAAAGAAGAGGAAAAGTTTTTCTGGCAAAGAGGACAACATTGCATGTGTGAAGAATGAGTAAGCTGCTTTGGCACGAGTATGGGTGTGTTGTGTGGATGGAAGGAGGTGGATACATGGTTGAAAAGATCATCTAGGCTCCCTAGGTATGGTATATAAAAATTAGTACACATTATGTGAAAAAATAAAAATAAATAAAAACTAGCAGACATTATGTGTATATGAGTGTATATATATATATGCACATGTATATGTATGTGTATATATGTGTACATATATATACTTTTCTTCAGATTCTCCAACATACTGAGTGGAGTTCCCTGGGCTACACAGTAGATCCTTGTTGGTTTTCTATTTTACATACAGTAGTGCACACATGAGAATCCCAACCTCCTAATTAATCCCTCCCCAACAAGAAAAGTCAAATATTTAAGTGCAGCTTTTATTTTAATAAAATACTCGCTTAGATCTTGACCACTTTCTCCTCCGCTTCCAGAACCTCATTCTCCTGGTCCTCCCATCACGCCGATCCGTCTCGCGTGGTCTCATCCACAGTTCCTCACGCCCTCCCGTCCCTCCATGCTGCTGCCTCCAAGAAGGCTGCACTCACCGCCAGGGTGGGCTCTACACTCGCGCCGCTTCAGGGACCCCTGATCTGTCTGGGAGCTGCTCAAACCCTCTCCTTCCTCACAGCCAGTGTCTGCCTCAGGTCCCATCACCTCTCACATCTGCTCCAACAAGAGCCTCCAAACTGGCTTTTCTAATCCCACCAAGTCTTTATCTTGCCACCAGATCTTCTTTTTGGGAACAAAAATATAATTATACTGCCCCTGTTAATAACCTTAAACGACAGTCCACTGAATAAAGGACAAAGCCCAAGAGCCGTAACAGGCCCTATTAGTCCCTTTGCAATCTTACCACAGTAAGCCACACAATGACTTTGCAGATTTTTTTTTTTTTAATCCCCACCCTTTCTCCTCATCCCAGTAGCTAGGGCACTGTGCAGTCACCATCCTGGGTTGGGGGTAGGAGGCGAGGATACCACAGCATAAAAGGAAGCAGTGCCCAAGTCTGCTTGATCATCATGTTCCTGAAGCCTTTGCCCTTGGGATTGGAGAGGAAACTGGGCACAACAAAAGAAGTTGCTTCAATTTCACGAGACTAAGCTCTGTCCTTTGAGACTAAAAGCTTCTTTCCACATACTGAGATGAGATGGAGAGGAGAAGTGCTGACAGGTTTCCTCCTCTAAGCCCTTACTCACTCTCCTCTCTCTACCTGGACTGTCTTTTCCTAGTCTTTCTCCTGGAAAAGACTGGTCCTTCATGCATGAGCTCAGTATCACCTCTTCCCACGTGGCTTATCTCCAGCAGGGTGACTCACAGGGTTCCAGATTAACTGACACACGATTCACTGACTAAGCCAACCCTAGAACAGACACGCCCCAGTTCATATCCACCTCCTCCTCCTGTTTCCACGGCTGTGAGCGCCTGGAGAACACGACTGTGTCACTTACCTTTGTGCCCTTGGCGCACGCCCTGCTGCTCTGTCTGCTGTCCCTGAGCCTGTTCCCAAGATGCTCAAAGGTTTCACAGAGCCAGCAACATGCAGACCATTGATAAGAATATTCCAACGAGCATTCTATTTTGTACATGTGTCTTGCATATTGCAGGGTTAAACAGAGATACAGCAGACCACCACCTTACTACCTGGGGTAAGGAAGGCTTTTTCTAAAACCAAGCAAGACTGCAAAGAAATCTACAACTAAACAGGCTTCTGCCTGCAATGCAGGAGACTACCTGAAGAAGACTCAGGTTCGATTCCTGGGTCAGGAAGTTCCCCTGAAGAAGGAAATGGCAACCCACTCCAATATTCTTGTCTGGGAAATCCCATGGAGCCTGGCGGGCTACAGTCCGTGGGGTTAGAGTTTCAAGAGTCAGACACGACTTAATGACTAAACCACCCAACAGTGTCCAGCACCACAACTAAAGACTTCACACCATTTTGGAATCACATTTAATTACATTTTTATCTGACCCAAGTATCTCAATTATTTAGTAGTTTTAACTACTAATCACTTAATAACAGTATAAATAACAAGTTTGTGACATGGACACACTTGTGATTTCCTAACTGGTAAAATCAGATTATGTTATAAAGGTGGTTTTCAAGCCATACTGCACATCACGCACTGTTCTAGATACTGTGGGCACAACCTAAAGTGAGTGCCACTTTTTCTAATCTCACGGGATTTCTGTACGAGTAGGAAACCCTTTCACCATCAGACCCCAAACTCCATGTGATAGGGTACCACTGCTGAAACATTAAGATAGTTAAGATAAAAACTTTTTTTCTGTTATATCTTTCTTCCCATTGGAGAAGTTGTAATAGCCTGGCAGGCTGCAGTACATGGGGGTCGCAAAGAGTCAGACATGACTGTGTGACTGAACTGAACAAACAAGTAAATCAATAAAACAAGATAAGTGTAATAACTCATAAAAGGGGAATAAAGCAGTGATGCTACAGTAACTTTGCAGTAGACTAGGGAGAAACAGAAATTCTTTCTGAGGGAGAAATGAATGATAAGAAGCTGGGGTAGGTTCTACATGGCCCCTAGCCAGGAAGGAAATGAGAGCATTCGTGGAACAGTGAGAAGGTCACTGTGGGTGGGTTGTACTCAGAAAGCAATAAGACTGACGAGGCAGGAGGGGGCCAGATCAGGTGGGCCAGGTAGGCGAATGGAAGAGGTATTTACTCCAGGCTATGGAAAACCATCGAGGACAGATGTGACCTGCCATATGTTTGTAAAAGCTCATTCTTAGGGACTTCCCTGGTGGTGCAGGGGCTAGGACTCAGCAATCCCAATGCAGGAAGCCTGGGTTCAATCCCCGGCCAAGGAACTAGTTCTCACATGCAGCAAATAAGAGTTAGCATGCTGCAACTATTAAAGACTTCATACCATTTTGGAATCACATTTAATTACATTTTTATCTGACCCAAGTATCTCAATTATTTAGTAGTTTTAACTACTGATCACTTAGTAACAGTATAAATAACAAGTATGTGACATGGATACACTTGTGATTTCCTAACTGGTAAAATCAGATTATGTTATAAAGGTGGTTTTCAAGCCATACTGCACATCACGCACTGTTCTAGATACTGTGGGCACAACCTAAAGTGAGTGCCGCTTTTTCTAATCTCACTGGATTTCTGTGCAAGTAGGAAATCTTTTCACCATCAGACCCCAAACTCCATGTGATAGAGTACCAATGCTGAAACATTAAGATAGTTAACCTAAGATAGGAACTTTTTTTCTGTTATACCTTTCTTCCCATTTGAGAAGCTGTAATAGCCTGGCAGGCTGCAGTCCATGGGGGTCGCAAAGAGTTGGACATGACTGTGCGACTGAACTCAATTGAAAAAACAAGTAAATCAATAAATCAACAAGATAAGTGTAATAACTCATAAAAGGGAAATAAAGCAGTGATGCTACAGTAACTTTGGAGTGGACTAGGGACAAAGGTCTTTCT